AGTAAGAACGAAAAAAGAAGTGTAAAGAATGCCGACCCTTAAAGGAAGCGCGTCCCCCCAGCCGCGGGCGCCCGCAGGTGGCAGGGCCCAGCGCCCGCGGAGGTCGCGCGTCTCAGGACCCCGGCCCGCACCCCGGGCACGGCGGCCCCGCAGGCCCTCGGCCGCCCGCAGGAGGGGACAGGTGGGCTCAGGTGGGCTCCGCGGCCCCGCCCGCCCCGACCTGTCACCAGGCCTCGGGCCGCCCGCGCGCCGGAACCGCGTCCCCGCGGGGGCGGCCTCCCCGGCCCGCTCGGCCGACCCCAGACCGGCCTGCGGCGCGGGCGCCGCCCCGGGTTCCGCGGCCCGGCCGGCCGTGCGAGCCGTCCATGGTGCAGCACATGTGGGCCGAGGCGGCCGGGCCTGCGGGCGGCGCCGAGCCGCTGTTCCCCGACTCCCGGCGGAGCCGCAGCGTGTGGGACGCCGTGCGCCTGGAGGTGGGCGCGCCCGACAGCTGCCCAGTCGTCCTGCACAGCTTCACGCAGCTCGACCCCGACCTGCCGCGCCTGGAGGTGGGTGAGCGCGGTCGCGCCGGCGGGCGTCGGAGGGCCCGACGCTCCGCAGAGCTGGGCGGGCCTGGGGTCTTGGGGGGCCCGCTCCACATGGGGGTCCTTCCGCAGAAATCCCCTCCTTGCTCCAGCGCCAAGCCAGCACGGCGGGCACGGGGCTGCCAGCGCGCTTCGAATGGCAGTTTCGGGACCACAGCTCGGTTCTTTGCCCCCTCAATTCCGTCCCAGGGCCTGCAGGGCACCGTTAGGCTCTAGGGTGCGGGTGTGGACAAGTGGTGGAGGGTGACAGAATCCTAGAATCCTTAGAGGTGATTGGGACCCCAGGGGCCTTCCAGTGCGCCTCCCTTGGGGCAGAATGGGTCTAATGACCAGGGAGACATCAGGGCCGCCCAGAGGAGGGTGGGGGACGGTGGTAGGGAGCAGCGGGCCTCCAGCATGTGGGGCTAGGTGTCCAGGTGGTGAGGAGGCCCGGGCGTGACTTGTTTCTGCTTGATTAGAAAGAGCAGCAGCACCCTGAATCTGTCCGGGCTTGAAAGGATTCAGAGAAGGGGGCTGTGTGCCTGTCTTAGGTGCAGGCAGGGGTGACTAGATGAGGGCTGGGACTCTGGTTTCTCGTGTGCCCTGGGCCGGGGGCCATGGGTGGTGCCCCCTGGCTCCTGCCTGACTGTGCACTTCACTCCATGCAGCGGAGGTAGTGGGACTCAGAGATGGCTCTCACCCTGCTCTGCGTGGGTCGGAGGACTCAGGGCATGTCAGGGCTCTGGCTGGGCCAAAGCCTTAGCGATGAAGGTCCCCAGCCCGCGTGCTGTTTAGGGTCCCCTTCAGCACTTTAGGCCACAGTTTGTTGTGATTGTCAGCCTGGGTCTTGAGCCTCTTCAGGTCCCAGTTCCTAGACAAGGCCTGGCTAAAGCGCATCTCTCTGCCCAGCTTGGGGGAGAGCTCTTGCTGGGGGAACCCCAGGCCTGGGAGACCCTTTCCTCCCGAGTGAGGCAGGTGGCTGGGCCAGGAGTGTTCCCTCAGCCCTCATCCACCCAGAGCTCTGGTCCTCACTGGCAGCTGGAGAGGGACCCCTGAAGGGGGAGGCCTGCCACCAGCCCGGCACTCATCTGGCTTTCATCACGCCTGGCAGCAACTCGTGCTTTGTGTGCTGGGAGGGTCCTGGCCGAGAGCTCACAGGGGCCGGGCAGGTTCCTGCCGGGGTGGGGCTGCTTTCTCTCCACTCTCTGTCTGCATCCCTGAGGAACCTCGGGAGAGGCAGAGCTGAGCTCCACCTCTGCCAGGGGGGCTGGGAAAAGGCTTTTCCTCACCCAGCCTCAGCACTGAGATCCAGCCTGTGGCTGCTATTTAGAATCAAAGGGGAAGCTTCTGGCTAGGGCAGGAAAACCAGGGTCCTGGCAGGAGAGGAGGCCACTGCCGGAAACCGAACACAATGACCATTTACCAAGGGCCCAGGGGAGGGGTTGGGGAAGTCCCTGTCCCTCCTGCCAGCACCTCCCCCCTCCCCATCCTGGGCTGATTTCCTGGTGGCTGAAGCGTGCGGGAGCTGAAGCGGCCCACTTGTGGTCCCTGTCCTCTCTGGAAACCCCCAGGCAGTTTCTGCCTTCCTTCCCCCATCCCTGTTTCCCTACCAAGCCTCCACCCAGTCCTTCCCTTTCTGGGCTGCCAGATGTCCTCGCACATCTGGGCATCCGCTTGTCATCTCAATTCTGAGCCAAGCCACCAATGACCCAGCTTGGTCTGCGCAATCCTGTGCTTTCTGGAGGTCAGGTTCCATGCCCCTGTCTCCAGGCAGGCCATCGCGTCAGCCAGGCAAGAGCTGCGGGCACCACGACCTCATTCCACCTGGCTTAGACCAACCCTACAGAGTAGGTGCCAACCCTACCTTCTAGGAAACTGAGAGTCAGAGAGGTGAAGTGTCTGACCTGAACACCCACACAGCCAAGAGTCACAGCCAGGATATGAACATGGGCTGTGTTCTCTGTGGGGTGCCTGCTGTGTGCAGGAGCCATCGGGGGTCAGAGAAGGATAGGGCAGAGTTCACTGGAGAGGCCCAGCCAGGTAACCCAGAAACCCCTTGGTCGGGTGAGGGGTAGGGATGCTTCTAGGCCAGAGGAGAGGGAAAGTGCTTTGGGCCAGAGGACACGGGGGAGAACTTCCAGGAGGAAGCAAGGCCACAGCTGGACCTCACAGGCTTAAAATACTAGCTAATAAGAGCAAGCATGTTTTGGGACGCCCTGTGCTGAATAATATGCATGCATTATGTCCTTGTGAGGTCGAATAGTCCCAGCCGTTTGACAGACAAAACTACTGAGGCGCTAGAGATGATTAGACTGCACAAGCCGCTCAGCCGCAGCGCAGGCCTGCGGGCAGTGTGTGGGTGAGGAGGGGTGCTCTGTATTCACGGGGGACAGTCTCCCTCCAGCCTCCTGCCCACTCGCTCTTGTGTCCTGCCCAGACTGCGTGCAGGTCTTAGGTTTAACTCCCAGGGCTCAGCAACACCTTTGACACTGGAGGCCCAGAGGCTTGGCCTGAGGGGCCTGTCCCTGCGTGGGCGTGGGCGCAGCCTGTGCTCAGCCTGCGGTCCTACGTGTATTCCAGTGTGTGTACTGTAATCTTCTAGGAGGGCTTCCTGACCCACGCCAAAGGGGCAGACCCCAAGACCCTCAGGTTCCCCTCTTGCTTTACTCCTGCTTTACTTCTCCCCAAGAGAAGAGAAAGGAGGGGCCAGGCTGGCCGGTACTGGGTCCTTATTCCTTCTCTAGGTGGGGGACACTTGGGCATGCTGGACTGGTTCCCAGGAGGCTCAGGGATGGCCCTGGAGCAGGAGTGGGCGACAGCCCTGGGAGATACTAAACTGCCCATCAGCGGGGCTGGAGTCCCATTCTCAACCCGCAGGTTGGATGTTTCCAGGCCCTGTCTGCATTGCCGGTGAGAAGGGGTTGGGTAGATTTATCACTGGCCCTCAGCAGGCAGCTCTGAAGGAGGCTGTGGGGGCTGTTTCAGGAGGCCGTGCCCAGGCAGTTGAGGACAAGTTCCCAGGGGCTGCTGGCTGGCTGCCCAGTTGGCTCCCACGGCGTGGTACGGCCGTGCTGTGGCCACCCTGTCCCATGACTAGGCTTGCAGCCTTGCCGGCCCAGAAATGCCGTGTTCTTGGACAGACAGCTCCAGCAAAGCGACTGAAGAGGTAGAAGTTGAAGCCTGCAGCCTTGGGCAGGAGAAGCCAAACTTTGAGCAGACCCGAATCCCCACCTCTGCACATCTTGGCTGCCCGTGGGCCAGGGAGGGAGCGGGATGACAGCCCAAGGTTGCAGCACACAGGGCAGGAGGACCCACGAGGGCCTGTGTCTGGAGGGTTCTTGGCCGAGGGTGTAGCGTTGGCGTTTTTCTCTCTTCACAGGGACTCTTTGATGCCTTTGCAGCCCATGCTGCAGTCACACCTAGAGGCGTATTGTCCATCTGAACCAAAGGGCAAGGAGCTCGGCCCCTTTGCAGCCCTAGCTAGGCCTGCTCCTGCTCTCTGAGCCTTGGTTTCCTCATCCGTTAAATGGACACGAAGCCAGTTCCTCCTCTAGGGTTCCCGTGAGGACCAAGTGAGACAGGAGGCCTGGGAAGCAGTGTGCACAGTGCCTGGCGCAGTGTCAGGGCCGGACAGGGAGCAGCTGCTGCAATTAATATTTTCTGACTAGGTGCCAGGGGAGTGGCCCAAGCCTTCTAGGTGCCCGTGCCCTGGCTCCCAGGGCGTGTTGCCACATCAGCACCAGGCTTCTGTGACCTGGGTCTTACAGCTGACCTCGGGGAGCATAGTGTCTCCCAGGCCTCTCCCCCCAGGGCGTGTCCACAGACCTTCCCTCCCTCCAGCTTGCTGTGCAACCTGAGGAAGCCCTTGCTCTCCTCTGGCCCCTCTTCTGCGTGGGGGCTGGACTCTGCTCTGGGGCTGTGACCATGGCAGAGGCAGCAGTCAGGCCTGGGTGTGTCCCGGCAGGCCAGGGTTCAAATCCCTATCCTGGCTGCCACTTCCTGGCTCCCTACGGGGCGAGTTCCTGCCCGCCTGTTTACCTGCCTGTGGGGCCGGAGTTGCGAGGACTAAATGCGGGGCCGGGCGCCCAGGAAGTGCCCGCACATGCTGCACACTGGTCATCGGTGTTGGTGTTGGATCCGGACCTTCAGGCTGCCCCACCCTACACCCCCTTGGGACGAGCCCACCTTCTTCCTCAGCTGCCACCAGCCACACCCCTCTCCGGCCTGGCCCCGGGGTGGCCTGCTTGCCTGACAGTTAGGAGCTGATGTGAACAGACGGGAGGCCGGGGCTGCGCAAAGCCTGTGGCTGACCTGGAGGGCCAGGTCTCCCCGCCTGCACTTGAGGCATGTTTTTCCCATCTGCGAGTAGCACGGTTGGCACGGAGGGTTTCGGAAGAGATGGAATGGCTGGTCCCCAGACTCCACTTCCTGGGGTCATGGAGCTCTCTGGTTGCCCTGACAACCAGGCACTTTGTGTAGACCTGGGGAGGCTGCCTCTTTGGGCTGCAGTGCCTGGGGACCAGGAGTGTGGCCCACTCACACCCAGGGCTGACCTCATGTCCCTGCTGGACCCTGTCCATGCCCTGGAGATCAGGGTGCAGGACGCCCACTGGAACTGGGGGCAGGCGGAGGGCAGGAGGGTCGTGGGTACGCAGCATTTCATTCCCCCTCCCTTGTTGGGGTTCATGGTCAAAGACATAAGCCAGGACATGGACTTGAGGAGTTGTGGGTTCTCACATGGCCTGGACACACTCTCCTTGACCTCCCCCCCGGACTCTGTCGCCACCTGTGTCCGTGGGGATGGTGTGCAGCAGCCGTGGGACTCGCTGTCCTTGGGAGCCGGGCTTGTGCACAGAACAAGCGGCCCTCTCTGTTCTGCTTCGTGTCTTGGCTTCTATATTCAGGCAAAAGGCTAAAAAGTCAGGAAGCTGTTCCTGCCTGCAGGATTTTAGGGTGACCCATCCTCTTTAATGTGGCCCTTCTCCAGGTCCCCAGGCCTCAGGCAGCTCTCAGAGAGGCTTCCCGCGAGGCTTTTCCCGCCAGTGTTCATCACCAGTTCCGGGGGGCCAGTGCGTGTCAGGTATTGCTGGACACCGCCACCGCCATCGGTCCCAGCGCCAGTCGCTGAGCGTCTGCGTTCTCTCTTGACCCCACCGCTGCCTGTTGGAGACCTGCTGCCATCTTCCCAGCTCACAGACCAGCTCACTGAGGCCGAAGGGCTCGGCAGAGCTGGGGGTCTGACCCCTTCACGAGAGTTGGCACACTGTGGTCTGGCGGGCTCTGTGGGGGGCCTCGTGTTCCCAGAGCCTCAGGGTGCTGGCAGGTGGTTGGTGAGGGCCCTGGGGCGACCTGCGGTGACTCAGTGGACCTGGACAGCAGCTCAGAGGGGTGCAGTGACGTCCTTGAGGGTAATTTCATGCTCGTGGCGACACTACTATGAGAGCCACCCCACCCTGCCTGAGTGTGCTGAATCTTTCCGCACGTAGGCCCGGAGGGCCAGACAGGGACACGGAGCATGCCACGGAACGGGCTGGAGCCCCCTCCTCCCTCCGCCTCAGCCCTCGGCCAGCGTTCCGCAGGAGGAGCCGGGCTGCCTGCGGCTAGAGTCATAGGAGGCCGGGGGCCCCTAGTTGTCGTTTCCAAGGAAACGTGCATGTGAGCCGGGAGCTAGACTGGAGGGGTGACGAGGAGGGGAGAAGGTACCTCCGGGCGTGTGCAGGTGTGGGCTGCCCTCTGGGGAGATGGCAGGGCTAGTGCCAGCCCTGAAGGGCACCTGAGACCCCCATTCTACCTGGAAGGCATCTGGGCAGGGCCTACAGCTGCTCTCTGCCAGCCAGGGACACGGCATCCTGCTCGCCTGTCACCCTGAGAAGGCTGATCAAGTGACACACTAACCAGACGCCACACAAGCCCAGTTTCCCTGCCTCATCCTCAGGGCTCCAGGCTGTGCCCAAGGACAGTGGGGTGTGGGGGCCACTCAGGGCCCCAGGGACAGGCTGGGGGTGGGACGGGAGTGTCCCCTGAGGACACAGCCATGCATGTGGCATTCTTTCCTCCTAACAGCCTGCTCAGAGCTGCCTGGACGCCTGCCCTCAGGGGAGGCATTTTCTCTGCATCAGCTGTTTGCTGGGCCCTCTGCTCCGCCCACCCCCTGAGCTCCCAGTCCTGCCTGCAGGGCTCTGGGGGCCTGGTACTGCCCACATGGGCTGTCTGCTCTGCTAACAGAGGGTGGCCAGGGGGCCAGGGCGCTGCCCTTCCTGCCCAGTGGGTCCCAGGGGCATATGCCAGGCCTGTCTGTTGCTTTCCTTCTCTGCCCCTAGAAGAGAGGCCTGCCGCTTTCTGCCCGAGCCCCAGGGCGGTGGAGCCAGCGCCTCTGTTGTCCCTGGGCAGACGGCTGAACCAGTGTCTGTGCTCAGCAGTGCTCTCACGGTCTGTGTCATGCCTGCTCCTGCTGTGCCGGGAAAGAACTAGGCAGGGTCAGCTCCCCCGGGCGGGAGCATCCCCCCATCTGTGCAACAGGGTGGCTGCTCCCCCATCCCAGGCATGCGTGGCTCTCAGCGTCCCGCCTGCACCCCTCCCCTCCACCTGGCTAGCAGAAGAGGGCCCCCCGGGTGGGGGCAGGGCATAGGGATCACATGACACTGCACGGCTGGGCCAGCTACGAGGCCCACGGCTCACTGAGGAGCCGAGGGGGCGGCCGAGGCCACCTGGCCCCAGCCCCTCCTGTGGGTGGGCCTGGCTGGGGACACACTTCCATCCAGCAGGCACTGATGAAACCCAGGTGGGAGCAGGTGCTGTGCTAGGCCCCCAGGGTTAATGTCCTGTGGCAGGAAGTTCCTGTGTGAGACTTGTGCCACCAATGACGTGGGCGCTCAGGAAGCTCTCTGCTCCCAGCTGGTCCAGATGTGGCTAAAATCCCCAGGAGAGGGAGAGACCCTCCCAGCGGAGCTGCTGGCCGTTGCAGGAGGCAGTCTCGGACCTCTGAGGAGACCAGGGTGGTCAGGGGCTCTGGGTGCTGTAGCCTCTGAAGCTTGTCTCTTCCCAGGGGTGACTTTCTAGGCAGGGGAGAGACACGCCAGGCAGGAAAAGGAGAGTGAGCATCTGTCTCAGTTTTCCTGTGGGCGGAAGGGCCGGACCGCCCCAGGCGCAGGCTGCTTAGGGGGTGTGGGCGTGCCCGTGCGGTCCCTGCTAACTTCCAAGGAACAGGGCCAGCTCTCCCTTCAGAGGAGGGGGAGGGCCAGGAGCCCAGGGTGATGTCTGCAGCCTTCCAGTTGGTAGGAAGCCCAGCGTGGGAGGGCGACCTCAGGTCAGAGGAAGTGGATTCTGAGGGTGGGCACGGCCCGCGACATGCTGGGCACCTGGCCCTGCCCGGGCTGTAGGGCAGGGTCCGGCAGCATGGCCCATGCCGAGTCAGCACTTTCTCTGAGCTCCAGGCCCACCCGGGTTGGGGCGCTGACTGCATCTGCAAGGGGACCCTGTACCTCCCAGCTCCTCCCTAAAGCCTCAGAGGTTGTATGTTTACCCCCAGCTCCCCTCCCCACTGCAAGCTCACCCCTTCCCTGGACGGCACAGGCGGGAGAGGGAGCTGTGAGCCCGGGGCGGCTGTGGCTAAGTGGCTCGGCTTTGGCTGGCCCCGATGATGCGGCCCCCTGGCCAGCCCGCCTGACCGAGGGTGTCTTTGTCTCCTAAAACAAGGACCTTTCCTTTCTGCCCGGGGATGTGGACAGCAGCCACATGACGTCCCAGCCAGGGCCCTGTGGGCTTGGGGTTCTGTGGAACCCAGCGTCTGCCCGGATTCCGACACTGTCACCATTCACACGCACCCCTCACATGACGATGGACGGGGAACTGGGAACTCCTCTGTTGCCCAAGCAGGCACAAGGCGTGAATGAGCAGAAAGGGAAGGAAATGGCCTCGGATGTGGCCGTCAGGGATGCCCCAGACCCGTGATGCTGACTCCAGGGCTGGGCCAGGAGGAGCTGCCCACTGCTGCTGGCTCAGCAGAGGCCCCCGGCTGGGCGGAGGAGGATGAGTGTGAGGGTGGCCCTGGGGAGACGCCTTCTCGGGGGTGTAGCTGCCCAGAGGCAGTTGGCTTTGCCCGTGCCTCAGGGTCCCAGCTGCATCATTTAGACTGAGGTGCACGACCTTGGGCTAGTTGCCCTTCTCAGCCTCCATTTACCCATCTGTGAAATGGCTGAATAACAATACCCATCTTGGAGGGGCCGGCTTGAGGAGTGGTCCAGTCCTGGGCAGGAGCAGGTTGTTGGGGGCCTGGAAGCCGGGTGGGCCCCTCGCGTTCACACCCCGGGTGGGGAGGGCAGTGTTGGGGCAGCAGCCTTCTGCCCTGAGGTTAAGCCCGAGCCCTTGCACTATCGTCTGCTTTCACCCCAGACCAGAGGCCCATGCGGAAGGTTGCCCGGGGTGTCCCCCTGCAGCAGGCCCCTGACGAACCGCCCGGCTGCTGGGCCCTGTCTTTGCAGAGCTCCACACAGGAGATCGGCGAGGAGCTGATCAACGGGGTCGTCTACTCCATCTCCCTGCGCAGGGTGCAGCTGCACCACGGTGCCAGCAAGGGCCAGCGCTGGCTCGGGGTGAGTGTGGCTTGGGTCCCCATTTGGGCCTGGGACCCAGGTACTGCCCTGGCGGCTCCACGGGCTCCTTCCCAGGGCTTTCCCACTTGAGGGCCCCACAGTGCTTTTCCCAAAGGAATCTGGGCCCTCACGTCCCTAGTCTTCAGGGTCCAGCCCAGGCCTGGCCAGCTGCAAAGGCACCATTGCCGTATGACCACGAATATCAGAAAAGACACCTCCGTGCAGTTCTCACTTCACGGCAGGCCGTAAATATTTTCATGTAGTACTACGGGTTTCCTTGCTGTAACTCCGGTCCCCAGGTGTACGTGCAGCCATCAGCCTGACTTCCCCCACATCTCCTCCCAGCCTCACACAGCATCTCGCACAGTAGGGCCGTCTATGCCGTCTTCACCCGGAAAGAGCGGGACGCAGGCTATCACACGCCCTTCTCTGCAATTTGCCGTCCCACAGAGCACAGCCCCCGGCCCTCCCGGGTTGGGAGCTGGGGCCTGACTCAGCTGCGTGACATTCCAGAGGGAGGCCAGTTACCTCTGCAGCTCCGTCCCCACTGCTGAGGGGCCAGGACATGATCCTTTCTGAGGCCGTTTCAGCAGTGCTGCGGGGAACGTCCTGTGCCTCCCACCCCAGGATAAGCCTCTATTTCCTCATTTCTAGAGTGGAAATGTTTTGTTAGGACTCGCTCACAGAACGCTCTGGCTACGGGGCAGCACCGTCATTACTCAGCCAACAGACTGCCCTAAAGGTGCTAGTAATTGAGTCCTTCCCACACCTCTAATTGTCCTTCTAAAGATTTCCACCAGAGGCACTCACGCCCCGCCTCTTCCCACACGCCGGTCAGGCGCTGGGCGTTCGGTCCGAGTTCCAGCCTCCAGCCCTCCTGGAGATGCGTGGTGCTGCCACCAACTGTACGTCCCCCTCTGTCCCACCCAGTATGAGAACGAGTCGGCCCTGAACCTTTACGAGACCTGCAAGGTGCGGACCGTGAAGGCAGGCACGCTGGAGAAGCTGGTGGAGCACCTGGTGCCCGCCTTCCAGGGCAGCGACCTCTCCTATGTCACCATCTTCCTGTGCACCTACAGAGCCTTCACCACCACCCAGCAGGTGCTGGACCTGCTGTTCAAAAGGTGAGCGGCCATCCCTGCACGGCACAGCAGCAACTCCGCCGCCCCGGCAGTGGGTCTTGGGAATACCGTGTCACCTCCCTGAGCCTCAGTTCTCCATGGGAGAACCGGCTGCCCAGAGGACCCACCTCCCAGAGCTGTCGTAAGGACTGGGTGGCGTGAGCCGCAGAAAGTGCTTCGCCCACACCTGGCCCTGGGGAGGGCTGCCTGGGGCTGGGTGGCTCACGTTCCGATTTTCCGCTCCCCCGCGAGGAAGCTCTCTGCCCCTGGTCTCGCCCATGGTTTGTGGCCTTGGCAAAGCTGCTTGCCCGTTTGTAAAGGCGGTCACCAATTCCATCAAGGGGCTGTCTGGGGGCCTCCAGAGCCATCATACCTGGGCAGGGGTTGGGCAGGGCTCATTCATTCAGTAAATATATGTGAAGTGCCTACTGCGTGCGGGCACTTTTCTAATTGTGCCCTTAGCACAATTCGATGAAAAAAGAAAGAATTGCTGCCCTCCTGGGCTTCCACTCCAGCTGGAGAGCCAGACAGTAACACTAGACGTCGTAAGCAGGTACGGTAGATGTGACGCCCTCACGGCCTCCTCTAGATACGGCTGCATCCTCCCTTACTCCCACGAGGACGGCGGACCCCAGGACCAACTTAAAAAGTGAGTGGGCGTCGGGCCAGCAGGGGGGCTCCTGTCTCCATGGTGGGGGCGTCTGGGGCTGGGCTGGGCAGAGCCCTGACTCCCACGAGGCTTGTGGTTCCCGCTAAAGGGCTGAGGTCTGGGGTTTTGCCTTCAGGAAGAAAGAAAACAGAGAGCTGGGGACAGAGTCCCAGCGCCCTGGGGAGCAGAGGGGAGGCTGAGACTCTGTCCCACGGTGGTGCCGTCCTAGCTGGGCCTGCCCAAGTGCCCGAAGCCAGGGGGCCTGGGACAGGAGGGGTGAGCAGCCCGCTCACATGCCGCTCCGCTCCTCGGCGGGCTCAGCCGCTATTCACGGGGACTCAGTGAGTGCTCAGGGCAGGCCGCACGCCACCCTTTGGGAAAGTATTAGCAGTATCGGCAGGAAGACGGCACCCACACGCGGCTCGCAGAGAAGGCAGCACGTCAGCACACGGGCTGCAGGTCGAGGTGCCCCCAGGGACCCGCGAATGCTGGGCAGGAGGATGGGTCCCTCCTGGAGTTTACGTTCCAGTAGGGAAGGCCCCGGGAGACAGGAAGAGGAGCGTGTCACCTTCTGGGAAGAAGGAGACAGGTGGTCGCACCACTGACCAAGAGCTCCCTCCACCAAGGCTCTTTGCAGCCCCTGCCTGGACAGCCAAGGGGGCTTGGGCTGGGTGGACTGGCCTCCAGATGGAGCCGAGGGCGGGCCAGGGAACGGGAGGCCAGGCCTCTGACTCTGCTGCTGCCACCTGCCCCCAGTGCCATTTCCTCCATCCTGGGCACCTGGCTGGACCAGTACTCGGAAGATTTCTGTCAGCCCCCGGACTTCCCCTGCCTCAAGCAGCTGGTGGCCTACGTGCAGCTCAACATGCCCGGCTCGGATCTGGAGCGCCGTGCCCACCTGCTCCTCGCCCAGCTGGAGCACTCGGAAGCCCTCGAGGCAGAGCCTGAGGGTGAGGATGGGGGTCGGTGCTGGCCACACGGCGAGCTGGGCAGGAGCACAGAGGAGCCCAGAGCACCCAGGCTGCAGGCCGCAGCTGGGAGGGCGTCCTGGTGTGGGCTCAGGGGTGGTAGCTTCTCTGGAAGGTGGGGGTGTTCTGTGTGTCTGGAAAGGCACGTGGAAAGGCTCTCGTGACAGCGAACTTCTCTCCTGCAGCTCTTTCACCAGCTCCAGCGCCAGCTCTAAAACCAACTCTGGAGCTAGAGCCAGCTCCAGCGCCAGCTCTAAAACCAACTCTGGAGCTAGAGCCAGCTCTAGCACCGAGTCCTGTGCCAGCGCCAACCCCAGAGCCAGAGCGGGAGGCAGTGCCAGCCCCAGAGCCAGAGCAGGAAGCAGCGCCAGCTTCCGAGCTGGAGGAAGCTCTAGCGCCACCTCTCGAGCTAGAGCCAGTTCTGGTGTCACCTCTCATGCCAGCTCCGGAGCTGGAGCCAGCTCTGTCACAGACCCTTGAGCTAGAGCCAGTTCCAACGCCAGCTCCATCCCCAGAGCCTTCCTGGCCTTCACCTGTGGTTGCAGAGAACGGGCTGAGTGAGGAGAAGCCTCACCTCCTGGTGTTCCCTCCCGACCTGGTGGCCGAGCAGTTTACGCTGATGGACGCGGTGAGCAGCTCGGCTTGGCAGGGCAGGGCGGGCCTTCCTCTGGGCATCTGCTGCCCGCACCTGCCATTCCCTGGTCTGGAACCAGCATTCTGGTTCAAATCCCAGCCCCACCATTACAAACCAAGTGATGTGGGCAAGTTTCTTAACCCCACGGGGCTCAAGCCACACCCTCAGATTCCCAAGCACCTGCCCAGCCCTCTGCAGCAGGGCTGGTGACACCTCCCCTCCTCCCCAGGAGCTGTTCAAGAAGGTGGTGCCCTACCACTGCCTGGGCTCCATCTGGTCCCAGCGGGACAAGAAGGGCAAGGAGCACCTGGCACCCACCATCCGTGCCACCGTCGCCCAGTTCAACAATGTGGCCAACTGCGTCATCACCACCTGCCTCGGGGACCGGAGCATGAAGGCCCCAGACAGGGCCAGGGTGGTGGAGCACTGGATCGAGGTGGCCAGGGTACGCTGCAGGAGGGACCCGGGGACCCCTGTCTGCCCTCAGGATGTCTCTGGCCCACGCCCCACGCAGGCCCCAGCCTCTCCTGTCCAGGCTGCGCTGGGCTCCGCTCTCCTCCCACTGCTGGGACGCTCACTTCCTCACGCGCTTCCCTCGGGTTGGGATAGAATCCTCCCCTCAGTGTTGCCCTCTGCACACCGAGCCTGCCCCCGGGGGCTCCCAGGGCGCCCGCCTGGAGGGGCCCGGCCGAGGGGACCGAAGCTGGCTCTCTCGCCTGCCCAGGAGTGCCGCGTCCTCAAGAACTTCTCGTCCCTCCACGCCGTCCTCTCCGCCCTGCAGAGCAACTCCATCCACCGCCTGAAGAAGACGTGGGAGGAGGTTTCCAGGTGGGCACAGCTCTCACTGCTGGGGCCACCAGGGGCCTCCCACAGGGAGCCTGTGGCCTTCGGGAGGCCACGAGCCCCGAGGGCAGAGACCCCCCGTCGCCTGAGTTGGCAGCTCTGCCTCAGGGTGCAGCTTCCTCGTCTCAGACCCGGGTTGAGCCACGTCAGAGACTTTCTGGTACTGACGTTATAGCCACAGAGCCCTGTGCCCGCTGGGGAACTGGTGGGAGCAGCCCCTCGGCAGAGGTGGGAATGGGGGCCCCATCGTGCCAATGTGAAGGCCCCTCCCTCGCCCGTGGAGCCTGTTGGAAGCCACTCATCTGGGCATTTTGGGACCTGTGTGTTCCACGATAAAATAGGCTTGCACTCGCGCCCCTCCCCACCATTCCCAGCTCTCTCCTTCCTTTGCCCTTCCTACAGGGACAGCTTCCGGATCTTCCAGAAGCTGTCGGAGATTTTCTCAGATGACAACAACTACTCACTGAGCAGAGAGCTGCTCATCAAGGTGGGGGCAGCGGGGATGGGGGGCCAGGGGGGAGCATGAGCATCTCACCGAAAGTTTCTTTGGAAAATTCCAGTCCCTTCTCGTCTGGACGCAGGGGAGGGGGCATCTGTTTGCCCATGGGGTGCGCAGAGGCCTCGAGAGGCAGGCGCTGACGGGCCTGAGGTCAGGGGTGCGCAGGGGTGAGGACTGAGGGGAGGAGGGCCTTGCTGACCTCGTCCTCACCCCTGGCAGGAGGGGACCTCCAAGTTTGCCACCCTGGAGATGAACCCCAAGAGAGCCCAGAAGCGGCCGAAGGAGACAGTGAGTGTGCCCGAGGGGAGGCCTGGCCTGGGAGTCAGCGGGGGAGGCCCCCAGCCCTGTCCTCCCTGCCACCATGCCTGGCACGCCCCACGAGGCTTCCTGGACCCTGGCAGGGCTTCCCTGACTAGCTGGTGTCCTGGGGGGACCAGCTGCAGCCATCAGAGCAGGGGACTGGAGCGGGCTCAGGGTGGGGCTGGGGCGAGGCCACATGACTTTCCTCCCAGAGCCAGGCTGGGAGACGGCTGGAGGGAGTCTGGGGTCCATGGAGGCCAGGACGGGGCCTCGGGGAGGTGGGCGAAGGTCCCCAGGCTGCTCCAAGTGAGGGGTGGGGGCTGTGGTCTGAGGCCAAGAAGCCTCAGGGAGGGGCCTTGGAACTTACTTGCCACCCCCGACCCAACACTGCAGGGAGCCATCCAGGGCACCGTCCCCTACCTGGGCACATTCCTCACTGACCTGGTGATGCTGGACACTGCCATGAAGGACTATCTGTATGTAAGTGAGCCTGGGAGCTTGGGGGGATAGCCGGGGCCTGGGTGGTGACGCCCCAAAGCTGCCTGAGCATGGAGCTGCAGGAGGGTTTGGCCAAGCTGGACACGGGCGGGAAGGTGGTCCAGCAGCGAGGGCAAGCAGTCCATCCACTGTCTTCAGAGAGGGTTTGGCAAGAAGCCCCCTGAGCCTCTGACCCAGGCCCCACCCCGTGCCCAGAACCCGCCCCAGTCCAGGACCATGTGCACCCTGCCCCCTGGCGGGCGCTCCTGATAGTGCAGCGTGAGCGGGGAGGTGGTACCAGTCTTGCGGGCACTTTCTGATGGACGTTGTCTATCTTCCAGGGGAGACTGATCAACTTCGAGAAGAGGAGGAAGGTGAGCAGCTGCAGGCCTCCTGGGGGACGGGTGGGAGTCAGACCTACCTGGGCAGGACACCGGCTCCATGCGCCACCCTCTTAGGTTTTGGGGCCATTTGGATAGGAGAGAAGGGGAGTCCCTCCCACAGGAGGTTAGAATCCAGGACTCCTTCCTGGGGAGTGGCTGTTTGAACCCAGCTCTAAGAACAGGGAGGCCCAGATGGCAGCAGTGAGGGGAGGAGACCCCGAGAGCAAAGACCCTGAGACTGGCCCCTGCCCAGGCCCGGTCACCATCCTGTCCTCCCCTCCGGCCCCAGGAATTCGAAGTGATCGCGCAGATCAAGCTGCTGCAGTCGGCCTGCAACAACTACAGCATCGCGCCCGAGGAGCACTTCCGGGCCTGGTTCCGGGCCCTGGAGCGGCTCAGCGAGACTGAGAGGTGAGGCCGGGGCAGGAACCGGGGGCGGCAAGGACAGGTGCTCCCTGCGGCCGTGGCCTCTGGACAGCGTTGGCCCCTGTGCCCGAGGTCGGCCAGGGTGCTCGGCCGCCAGCTTCTGGGCAGGTGCTGGGAGGAGACTGAGCGAGGCCCCTGTAGACACAGTCGTCCTCTCCCTGCAGCTACAACTTGTCGTGTGAGCTGGAGCCCCCTTCCGAGTCGGCCAGCAACACCCTCAAGACCAAGAAGAACGTGGCCATCGTCAAGCGGTGGAGCGAGTAAGCGCCCGGCCAGGCGGGAGCTGCGGGGCTGATGGTGGGCTTGGGGTCGGGCTGGCGCTGGGATCCCACCTGCTGCTGCCCAGCCCTGTGATGGGGGCGAGTCCCCTCACCGCTCTGGGCCTTGGCTTCTTCCTCTGTGAACTGGGGTGATGCTAAATGGTCTGTCACGCAGCCGGGGTGTGCAGGGTACTGGCGACTGACCAAGCACTTATCACAGTGCCTTGGGTGCAGAGTGTGCAGTGGGGTGTCCTTGCGGAGGCCCACAAGTAAGCAGGCCCTCCATCCAGCCGCCAGGCCCCCAGCACAGAGCTCAGCACCAGCGGCAGCTCCCACTCCAAGTCCTGTGACCAGCTCAGGTGCGGCCCCTACCTCAGCAGCGGGGACTTCGCGGACGCGCTCAGCGTGCACTCCGCCGGCTCCTCCAGCTCCGACGTGGAGGAGATCAACATGAGCTTTGTCCCGGAGTCCCCCGACGGCCAGGAGAAAAAGGTGACCGCCGCCCGTCCCCCCAACACCCTTCCCCGCCCCTCCCCCCCCATGCCGGCTCCCCACTCTGCACCCACACAGGGGCCAAGCAGCCCTGGCTCCTGAACACAGCTGCTGGGAAACCCCCAGCCGGCCGCCCGTGTCAGGTGCCGGGCGGGGTCCGGGCTGCTGCTGACTTGCTGAACCCCGCAGTTCTGGGAGTCAGCGTCCCAGTCATCTCCGGAGACCTCGGGCATCAGCTCTGCCTCCAGCAGCACCTCGTCCTCCTCGGCCTCCACCACGCCTGTGGCCACCACACGCACCCACAAGCGCTCCGTCTCAGGGGTCTGCAGCCACGGCTCCTCACTGCCGCTCTACAACCAGCAGGTGGGCGACTGCTGCATCATCCGCGTCAGCCTGGACGTGGACAACGGCAACATGTACAAGAGCATCCTGGTGAGCCGGCCGCGTCGAGCACTGTGGAACGCCGTGTGCCGCCCCTGCCCTCCGGGGGTTGCCTTCTAGGGGTGGGAAGGACAGATGTCAGCCAGATGCAGAGATGAAGGAGATAGCGGTGGGCGCCAAGGGCTGGCCCGCGGGGTCGGAGGGAGCAGCCGGGCAGCGCACTAGGCGGCGGAGGAGCAATGGCGTGATGTCAGGGACACGTCTGGGTTCTGGGCTGTGTGGGCCCCGTGAGCACCACGAGGACCTTGACCTTCTCGTGGAGGGAGACGGGAGCCGCTGCAGGGTGGAGCAGAGGCGGGCAGCGAGTGACTGCTGGCTTGTCTTTGGGGAGTGGGCTGGTGCCAGAGATGCAGAGAGGCTGCCTAGGAGCCTTCTGGGGCAGTCCCAGCCAGGAGAGTGGTGGCTGCAGCAGGCTGGAGGTGACCAGCAGCGTCAGTCTGGACAGGATTGGAGATGGAGCCAGTGGGAAATACAGGATGTGTGTGGGTGTTGGGGGGCTCTCCCTGTCCTCCAGGGCTCCTGCTGCAGACAAGTCCCCACACATGCTGGGTCAAGTGCCCCATCACAGGCCCAACCTGTTCTGAGCCTCCCACTGCCAGGAGCTAGCAAGGCTGTCATTAAGCAGCCACCTGTATGACCCTGGGTCTAAGTCTCATGTGTGTCTCTGGCCCTCAGGGCCGAGGCAGCCAGGGATCAGCCTGTGCTGACCACCAGTGGGCACCCGGCCACCTCCTCTCTTACCCCCAGGGCGTGGGCCATTCCCTGTTTGTCCGCCAGGCTCACTGGGGCTGTTACCCTGCCCCTGGGGCAAGCGGCTTCCCAGGGTAGCATGGGAGGGGGTAGCAGGCTCTCGCAGGAGCCCCTGAGGAAAGACCCCTCCTCATTACGTGGAAGCCTCCCTCAGGGAGGATGGGAAGGTGGCAAGGACCCCCTGGACCCAGCACCTGGCCAGAGGCTGTGAGCCCCTGTGCTCAGTGCTGAGGGGACTCCATAGGGTCTTGGCCACTGCACTTGAGGGAGCCACTCTAGGGGCCCTGATGGCCTGTCCCCTGCCCCAATCCAGGTGACCAGCCAAGATAAGGCTCCGGCCGTGATCCGCAAGGCCATGGACAAACACAACCTGGATGAGGACGAGCCAGAGGACTACGAGCTGGTGCAGATCATTTCAGACGATCGGAGTAAGTTGGAGAACCAGACGGGCGGGTGGCAGGGCAGGCTGGGTCAGCACCACTGCCCGGCCCCAGGCCTGGCCTCAGAAAACTCGCCCGCAGGGGCAGGTGGGCACTGTGCACAGGGCGGCCCCGGGCTCCCCTGGTGTCTCCTCACTGCCCCCAGCAGCTGCTGGACCTGCCTGCGTATGCCCTTCCCCGGGCATGAACACGCAGTTCAAAGCTGACGTTAGGCCCGGCACGGGGGCTCACACCTGTAATCCCAGCACTTTGGGAGGCCGAGGTGGGAGGATCGTTTGAGCCCAGGAGCTAGGGGCTGCGGTGAGCTTCAATTGCACCACTGCACTCCAGCCTGAGTGACGGATCGAGGCCCTGTCTCCAAAAAAAAAAAAACCAAAAACAACAAAGAACAAAAAAAAAAAGCAATGGTGGGGCAAAGGGGCCAAATGGCACATGGAAAAGGACATTTTCTGGCTAAGACAGGAAAATATGTGCTTCAGAAAGAATTGCAACTGCGCGGACTGGGCATCAAGTGTTAAAACCCGTGAGTGTCTGAGAGTGAAACAAAACAGAGACCACCGAGGAGCCAGCGCCATATTCTAGAGCCAGGAAACGGATGACATCAAAGAGCAAGTGCGGGCTCAGGCAGGGGCCCTGGGCTTGGAGGCCTTGGGCGAGTTCCTTAAGTCCTCTATGCCCCTTTTCTCATCCCCCAAATGGAGATGAAATAGCCAGTGAGTCAGGCCTGTCCGTGTAACAGAGAAGCATGTGGTATAGATACGCACCGTAAAGGTTAGCCATGCGGTCACCGTCACTCTGATTTCTTTCCAATGAACTGAGCACCACCCCCGCCGTTAGCACAGACAGTCAGCAGTGACTCCCATGTCCCTAGAGGTTGTATTTTAGATCCTCCTGCAGTGTCTTGCACCATCATGGTTAGGCAGACAAGGTAGGTGCCACCCCCGTCACACAGATAAAGAGGACTGAGGCCCAGAGAGGTTAAGGAACGAGAGTAAGAGCCACATGACGTCAGCAGGAGCACGGATCCAGCCCCGCACAGCCGCACGGCCGGCTCTGGGCCAGAGGAGACCCGTGGCAGACAGGCACCAAGAGCCTGCCAGTGCCTGGCCCCACGAGGTGTGCAGGCCACCCAGGAACCCAGCGCAGGAGGCCTGTCCCGAGTAGGGCAGGATGGAGGGGAGATAGTCAAGGTCCTAGAAAGCCTGTTCCAGCCGGACAGGGGGACAGGATGACCCACTGCCAGCTCCAGGCCAGGCTGGGAGTTCGGGAGTCAGAGCCCTTTTTAAACAAGAACCGTTAGGTCTCATCAGGGCCTGGGCAGAGTCTGTCCTCGGGCAGGAGTCATTGAGGGGAGTCCTTGGTGTTCCTGGAGCGGGACTGGGGGATCTCAGGGCTGCCCTCACAGGGGCTCTCGGGTGGTGGGGGTGTCCTGTGGGTCCCCTAGGAACACAGGCGACCATCCTCTGCCCCTCCCTCACCAGAGCTGAAGATCCCTGAGAACGCCAACGTGTTCTATGCCATGAACTCTGCCGCCAACTACGACTTTGTCCTGAAGAAGCGGAACTTCACCAAAGGGGCAAAGGTCAAGCACGGAGCCAGCTCCACCCTCCCCCGCATGAAGCAGAAAGGACTCAAGATTGCCAAGGGCATCTTCTGAGGGCATCTCCCGGGTCTGGCTGGCCGGGACCTAAGAATTTACAGACTACAGTGGCCCAGGCCCGCCGGGCACCTTCCGCCCACCTGCCAGCCCAGGGGACCCCAGACTCCACTTTCATCCCAAACCTCTCCTGCTGCCGGGATTGATGCCTGCCGCGCGTCAGGCTGACCTGGCCTCCCACGGACCACTCGCTGCCTTAGGTGCCTTCTGCTCTCTGGAACCAGAGGACTAGCTGACTTTTGCCAAGGAGCGGTGCCAACGGGCATGGTGCCCTGGTACCATGGTACCTGCCCCTGGGCGCTGCCTCTGTACACTTCCCTGACACCTTCCCAGGTGCAGGTCACTGCCACCTGTGCCACAGGCACCCCAGAGCACCCACTCACCCACCAGGTCTGACCACTGCAGTTCTCTCCTCGTGCCCACGGGCACTGGCCTGTGACCTTTGCCGGGGTCCTGGCCCCTCCTCCCACCACTCTAGCCTTTCTAGGCTGCACCAAAGATTCCATCATCAGGGCCAACTGAGAGTGAGGGAGTCCCGCCCACCACTCACCCCAGCCCTCCCCGGGAGAGGAGAGACAAACCCTCTTCACGGACCACACTCTTCACCCAGGGAGTGAGGACAGTCCCAGCTGAGTCCCATCGATGCTGACTCTCACGCCACTGCAAGTGCCGTTCGCCGCTGCATCCTGGGCTTGACAGGACCACACAGGACGGGGGTTGCTGGGGAAGGAGGGTTTGGGGTGGGGAGGTGATCGAATATTTGTATAAGAAGAAAAAAATGTTTACTGATTGGGGAGGGGCAATATTTATTTGTTGTAAATAGCAAATGCTAGACTTGAATATTATATTAAAGTCCTGTTTCTACTACAGCCTGGTCATTGTGGTTTTGTTCTTTCATTTCCTGTCATAATTTAAATGACAGAGGGACTCTCACATTCCATGTTCAAATGAGGAATCTTGCAGGATTGTCAATTTTTTTTGTGCGGAAGAAGTGAAAAGTGCCAGCCACACTTCTCAGGCACACAGAAGGGAGCGCCCAAGTCCAGCTTTCACAGGGAAGATGATCATTTCAGTGCCATTGAACGGGGCGATGCACTGAGACAGTCCCACAGAACTCCTGGGACTAGAGGTCGGAGGTGCATAGCAATAACCTCTGACATTTGGGTGTCTTTTAAAGATAACATTTACAACAGAAAATGGCAGAGTAGGAGGCCGCGGGGTTCAGTGTGTCCATGGAATCAGCCATTAAGCTGGAAAGAAAATTATCAGAGTCAACTATTTCGGCACTCTGGCACCTGCTCAGACACGGCAAAGCCAGGGGACCAGTCGATGAAGGGAGACACCACCAGCTTCAACTGTTAAGACCTCTGTCAAGTCACAGGCTGACAACAGAGACAACAGAACAGGACCTTCAGTGACTGCGCGCGACAAGGAATACAAATACAAGCTGGGCAAAAGTGGCTTGGAAAAGTCACTGTGGGGACAGGAGACTGAACCTTTCAACACGCAACACAGGCGGTTCCCGAGGAGGGGCCAGCCTGATCCAGCGTCACTGCATTAGAATGCCCAGTGTCTGGCTCTCAAAAAATGACAAAGGTACAAAGAAACTGAAGTTGGCGCATTCGCAGCAATAAAAGGATTTGACAGAAACTACCTCCGAGGAAGCCCAGACATTAAAATTACTAGTTAAAGACATTAAATCATCTTTCTTGAATGTGCTCAATGGGCTAAAGGAAACCATGGAACTAAAGGAAATCAGGATGATGGATGAGCAAATGAGTAATGCGGTAAAGAAATGGAAATTATAGAAAAGAACCAACCAGAAAATTTGAAACTGAAAAGTGGAACAACCAATGAGACATTTACTAGAGAAGGCAGACAGGAACAGGCAGTCATCACTTGAAGATGAGGCAGTTGAAATTACTCCGTCTGAGGAGCAGAAAGAAAAAAGGACGAAGAAAAACAAGCAGAGCCGGTGGTCTCTGCGGGACACCGTCCGTGTACCAACCCTCGCGTAATGAGAGCGCAGAGGAGGAGAAAAGCAGAGAGATTATTTGAAGAAATAATGGTCAAAAACTTTCCCAATTTGATGAAAAACATAAATCTACACATCCACGAAGCTCCATGAACTTCAGACAGGATAAACTCGAAGAGAGCCACGCTGAAATGCACTGGAGTCACATCGTCGAAAGAGAAAATCTCGAAAGCCACAAGGAAGAAGCGATTGCTCACGGGCAAGGTTGCTCAGCAAGGTTGCCGGCTGATCTCACCGGAAACCGTGTGCTCCAGAGCGCAGCGGGACGGCATATTCACAGTGCTGGAAGAAACAGCCGAACACCCTTTAAGGATGAAGGAGAAACTAAGACGTTCTCGGGCACACAAAAGTTGCGGAGCTTGTTATTAGTAGACCTGCCCTACGGGAGATGCTAAGGAGAGTCCTGCGTCTGAAATGAACACTGGACAGCGACCCGGACTAGAGAACGCTGGTGGCGTAACGAACACGTGATTAGAAAAGCCAGTGTTGTTGCACTTTGGGTTTGTAACTCATCTCTTTTCCTTACAGTTTAAAAGTAAAATTCATAAAACGCTAAATGCACGTTAATGGGAACACGATGGATGATGATATGATCTGTGACAATGACGATATAATGGGGGAGGAGTGGAGACGTGTGAGCACTAGGTGGGTGTCATTCGGACTAGGTCGTCATAAGTTTAAGACGTTAATTGTCATCCCAAAGGTAACCACTAAGAAAATAACTAAAAAATACATAGGAAAGGAAAGAAAAGAAGGGAATCAAAAAAATCAACTAAATTCATAAACAAAACAGTAATGGAGTTGAGGAACAAAAGGCATATCAGACGTACAGAAAACAAATAGCAAAGTGGCAGAGTCAGGTCTTCTCAGTAATTACTGTAAATATAAATGGGTTAAACTCTCCAGTTATTTTTTTCTTTCTTTTTTCACTATCCTAATGGGGATAAACTCTCCAATTAAAAGGCAGAGATTGGCAAAATGGATTTTAAAAATACCTATATGCTGTATTTAAAGGACTCATTTTGAATACAAAGATAGGAAAAGGTTGAAAGTAAAATGTTGGAAAAAGTTATACCGTGAAAATAGAGTATTTTAATAATGGCTATGTTATTATCAGGCAAAGTAGATTTTAAGTCAAAAGGAATAAGATAAAGAAGTTCAATATATATTGATAAAAGATTTCACTTATCAAGAAGATACAATTGTAAACATATACATACCCAATAATCTCAAAATACATAAAGTAAAAATCGACATAATTGAGAAATATACAGAGACTTTAATACCTCACTTTCAACAACAGATAGAACAACCAGATGGAAGATCTATAAGGAAACAAAGAACTTGGACACTGTAAACCAATTAGACAAAGCAGACATATACAGAACACTTAAACTAGCAACAGCAGAGTACACATTCTTCTCAGACACACATGGAACATTCTCCAGGATAAACTATACGTTAGGCCATAAAACAAGTTTTTTTTTTTTAATTTTTTGAGACAGAGTCTTGCACTGTCTCCTCGGCTAGAGTGCAGTGGCGTCATCCTAGCTCACAGCAACCTCAAACTCCTGGGCCCAAGCGATCCTCCTGCCTCAGCCTCCCAAGTATCTGGGACTACAGGCGCACACCACCATGCCTGGCTAATTTTTTCTGTTTTTAGCAGAGACAGGGTCTTGCTCTTGCTTAGGCTGGTCTCGAACTCCTAACCTCAAGTGATCCACCCACCTCAGCCTCCCAGAGTGCTAGGATTACAGGCGTGAGCCACCACTCCCGGCCATAAAACAAGTCTTAATAAATTTTAAAAGATTGAAATCATTGTAGTTGTATTTTTCCAACTACAATGGGATGAAATTGGAAATCAACAGCAGAAGGAAAACTGTAATACTCATGAATATGGGGAGATTAACACACTCTTAACCAACAGGTCAAAAAAGAAATCACACAGGAAATTAGAAGATACCTTGAGAAAATGAAAACCAAAACACAGGATACCCAAATTTATCTGCACACAGTGAAATCAAGAGCAATCTTGGAGATTTGTAGCTGCAAACACCTGCGTTAAAAAAGCAGAAAGATCTCAAATCGACAACCTAACTGTACAACGTAAGGAACTAGAAAAAGAGCAAACCAAACCCAAAGCTAACAGAAGGAAGGAAATAAAGACAATAAAGATTATAGCAGAGATAAACAACATAGAGAACAGAAAGCAATAGACAAAATCAGCAAAACCAAAAGTGGGTTCTTTGAAAGGATCAACAAAACTGACAAACCTCTAGCTAGACTAAGAAAACAGAGACTCGTTACTAAAATTTGAAATGAAAGTGAAAACATTACTACCAACTTCACAGAAATAAGGATTATGAGAATACTATGCACTGTTGCATGCCGCAGCATACAATGGAATATTAGCCAGGAAAAGGCATGGGGTGCTGATACATGCTACAACATGTATGAACCTTAAAAATGTTTAATTCCGCTGATAAGAAACATCTGGAATGGGAAAATTCATGGAAACAGAAAGTAGACTAGAGGTCACCAGTGGCTATAAAAATGAGTTACAGGCCGGGCGCGGTGGCTCACGCCTGTAATCCTAGCACTCTGGGAGGCCGAGGCGGGCGGATTGTTTGAGCTCAGGAGTTCGAGACCAGCCTGAGCAAGAGCGAGACTCCGTCTCTACTAAAAATAGAAAGAAATTAATCGGACAACTAAAAATATATAGAAAAAATTAGCCAGGCATGGTGGCACATGCCTGTAGTACTCGGGAGGCTGAGGCAGGAGGATCACTTGAGCCCAGGAGTTTGAGGTTGCTGTGAGCTAGGCTGACACCATGGCACTCACTCTAGCCCAGGCAAAAGAGTGAGACTCTGTCTCCAAAAAAAAAAATGAGTTACAGTTTAATGGTTACAGAGTTTCTGTTTGGGGTGATGAAAAAGTTTTGGAAGTAGTGGTGATGGTTGCAGGGCAATCTCCGTGGGCACCAGGAAGAGGATATCGGTCTCAAAGTCCACCACGGTCTTCTTCTTGGTCTCCTGGGACGAGTCCTGGGCCCAGGACTCCGTGTAGACATCAAAGGCGGATTTGGCCCCTGTGGGCCCCTTGGCGATGGTGAGCCCACTGACCAGCTTGTAGAAGTCCTCACTGCAGGGACCAAGTGGCACTGACACTCCCTCTGTTCCAGTGGGAAGGTGTCTGCCCACCCCCCGCCCGCCAGTGTGAACGTCCTCGATCCCAACCTCCCCAACCCCCACCCACGCTAGAGCCTGCCGCCTCCGGGCTGGCCCCCAGGCCATCCTTCCCAGCAGCCCCCCAGCACGCATCGCCCTGGGTCCTGCGCCCCCTGCTCACTCCGTGACATCCTTGTTTTTCGTGTTGACGACTGGCATGTCCATGCCGGCAAACAAGTGGCCGTCCATGTTGTTGGTGCCTGCTGTGTAGTCCATGTCGGCAGCGTTGGCGTACAGGTTGACAGGGTCGTCGGGGATGAAGTCTCCGTTGATGACAGGGGTGAAGCCCAGATAGTGCAGCACGGGGTCTGGGGGGAGGGGAGGCCGGCAGGTTCCTGCACCTCCCAGTATCCGCCTGACCCTCCCCTTGGCCTCCTGGGCCGTGGGTGGAGACCTCTCCCTTCTCTGACCCAGACCAGGGTTTCTTGGCCTGGGCGCTGCACACGTTCAGGCAGGATGATGGTGCCGTGGCGCGTCCCGAGCAGAGTCCCTGGCCTCGACCCGCTCGCTGCCAGGAGCACCCTCTCCCCAGTTTGTGATAATCAACGTCTCCAGACTTTGCCAGGGGCCCCAGGGGTAGAGCCACTGGTCTAGAAGCCAGGTCTGTCTTCTTGCCTCAGTGTCACCCTCTCTGTCCTCCCTCTCTTCTCGCTGGACTGAAGTCAGGAAGGAGGAAGACCCAGAAGCAATCGAGGGAACTGACGGGGAGGGAGGCAGCCGAAGACCGTGCGAGGCCTGCATTGCCCTCCTGCCCCCTGAACTGGCCCTGGAGGACCAGGCAGCCGGCTGGCAGGGGCGGGGTGCGCTGGCTGTCGGCTGGCAGGGGCGGGGTGCGCTGGCTGTCGGCTGGCAGGGGCGGGGTGCGCTGGCTGTCGTCAGGCACAGCCTGATCTTCCAGTGGGCCTGAACTGCCGCTGTTTGTCTTGCCTAGCGCACAGGCTAGTTCACGGTAGGCGGAGATGCAGGTGGCGGCCTGCGCTGCCCTTCGCCTTGGAAGGAGGAGCAGGAGAGAACTGTCGCCCACCAGCCGATGCCGACACTCAGGCGTCTGCAGACGGCCCCAAGCCCTCCCGGGTACAGAACACTGGAGCCGGAAGGGCCAAACGCCACCCCAGGTGTTCGGTAAATGATTGCTGAATGAATGAATGAACGAATGAATGGCTGTGTAGCACACAGGCTCTGGGGCTGAGGTCTGTGGATCTCCCCAAATTCTTTGCTGTTTACTGCATACGTGTGCAGTGTTGGGGGAGTGGGCTCCAAGCGCTCATCAGCTCCCCAAAAGGAGACGTCCATGACTCAGGGAGGGTAGGAAGAAAGAATGCCCCTCACTTACGGCTACAGCCACTGAGGCCTGTCGGGGGGCTGGCAGTGAGCTACCTGGGGATGCCAGCAAGTGGGTGCCTGTGCCCTCCCCGAACCTCGAAACCCCACGCACCGCCCGGCAGCGCCCACTCACCCTCCATGCCTGTCAGAGGCGACTTACAGGCCAGCGTCAGGGCTCGGGGCTCAGTGATCTTCAGGCACTTGGCCATCCCGGCGGTATCGTCCGCAGGGCAGCCCACCTTCTCAGCAACCTGGGAGCGAGGCAAGACAGGCAGGCAGGTGAGACCAGTGCTCGGGCGCAGGACAGTGTGGGGCCAGGAGGGGTGCCATGGAACGGAAACGAGGAAGCCCCTGGCCCATCCGCAGTGAGCCCCTGCCCGCCCGCCCTCTGCCACTTACCTTTGTGGCCCAGAAGAGTGGATTCTTCTGGATGACCCAGGGGCTCAGCGCCACGCCGCTCTGGCTGATGGCTCGCCGGATGAGGCCCTTGTTATAGGGGGAGAGGGTCTGCGACACCCAGAAGTCCCGTCACCAAGCCTGCAGCCCACCCTGCCACCCCGGGCTCAGCTGAGGACACCCCAACAGCTGAGCTCCAGCCCCATCCCCACCAGCTCCCTCCCAAACCCGGGGGGCAGGCCGTCCCTCCAGGGGTCCCCAGACCTACAGAGAGACGCTGGCACCTCCAGCCGACTCCCCAAAGAGGGTGATGCTTTTGGGGTCCCCCCCGAAGGCCGCGATGCTCCTCTTCACCCAAGCGATGGCCATGTGCTGATCCCAAAGGCCACAGTTACCTGGCGGCAGCGCAGGGGGAGGGGCCTTCGTCGGGGACCCTCCGTGGTGGGGACGGGCGCTAGAGATGAGCAGCCCGGGGCCCGCACGCAGCAGGCGTGAGTCGGCACGGGAGGGCGGGACGGTCCTCCCCAGCGTGGACACCCCGGCAGAGCCCAGGATGGGGGGTGGCAGGTCCCCAGGGTGTGGAGGGGGTGGGGGTTGGGGCAGCGCAGGGGGCAAGAGGCCAGGCTCCCGAGTGTCCCCTCCCTGCTGCTGTCCCTCCTGTCGCCTGTGCCCTGCAGCGTCTGCGTCTGCTGTGTCTCTCACCTCAGTGTGTCCTTTTCTGTCTCTCACTGGCCCTGCCTGCCTGGCCTCTCTCTGAGCCTCCGTCTGTCCACTGTCTGTCTGTCCCGAAGCCCCTTTGATTTCGCAGCTGCAAAGGGGCTCCTGTGTCTCACGACTCAACTCCAGCTTCTGGGCCTTTCTGTGGGACTGTCAAGAGTTGTCTGGGGTCTGGGGCTGAGGATTGTCCCCGCTCTGGGCTTGGCACTCTTGGGGTCTGGACGCCTGCTGTCCCCTCCTCCCCGTGCCAAGGTTCCCACGCACCTGGCAGGTTGGTGTCCCCAGTGCTGAGGAAGCCGAGGGGCCGGTGCGGTAGTTGAAGGTGACCACGATGACGTTGCACGTGTGGCTGTCTCCTCCCCATCGTGCAGGCGGCTATTGAGGAAGCCAGCCCCGTGGCCAGCCCCCATGAGGAAGGCGCCTCCATAGACGCAGACCGTAACGGGCAGGTCCTGGGAGACCGAGGGGGGAACGGTTGGTGACCCCCGACACCTTGTCCAGCCCTCTCCTGAGCAGCAGGTGCCCCCCACCCTGGGGCATGGCTGGGGGGGGACACGTGGGGTGCTACCCTGCTCGGGCTGGAGGACCACCAGTGGGAGCCCCTCCCATCTCTGAGCATTTCAGGCAAGTTCAGCCTCGCTGGTCCTAAACACAGCCAAGAGCAGGGCGGGGACCCTGGCTGCTTGGGGGGTTCCCATGGAAGTGGGGGAGCCAGACCTTGCCTCCTGCCCTGGGGGACCCAGATGTTGAGGTAGAGGCAGTCTTCATCCCCGTCAGTGCTGTCCTGGGTGATAGTGGCCTGCAGGCATCGCTTCTTGAAATCCTTGGCCTTCAGGGTCCCTGCGGGCAGCAGGCGGGGCTGGAGTGAGGGTGGTGCCCACCGCACCAGCCCCAGCTCAGGGCAGGCCCAGCACCCGCCCGCTCCCACCTTGCCAGCGGGGTGTGGCTGGGGGTTCTCCAGGGCCTTGGTGGGGGCGGCGGATGGGATGCCCTTGAAGATGTCGACAGAGTCGCCCAAGAGGCCAAGCTTCTTGTTGACACCTTCCATGAAACCTCCTTCCGTGTACACCACGCCCAGCTGGGAGCGAGGAGGGTGAGGCCGGCTCAGGCCTGGTTGGTCCGAATGCAGAGGGGGTGACCTGAACAGGCTTCGAAGGGGACAAATCCGCACCTGAGGCCGAGGCAGGACTCCCTACCACTCACCCCTATCCCAGGGGGTGTCAGCTCCCTCAACTACTAGTGTTCCCACTGGGGAAGCCTTCCGAGAGGGGGGGTGGAGATTTGGGCTCTGGCTATGGCCGCCTAACTGTGACATTGAGCCTCAGTTTCCCCATGTGGAAGACGTGTGAAACCAGTGTCTCCCTTGTGGCCTGTTTGCATCAGATGGGAGGCCTGTCCACCCTAGTGGACGCTCACTGTGCACTGGGCATTTCAACCCAGCCGTGAGCTTCCCGAGTCCTTCTTTCTTTCTCCTTCCCTGTCTCCCCTCACGGAGCCCAGCTGGCTGGGCATGCCGTTGGCGGCCCGATGCCCGAGTGCCTGTGTGCCCTGCTGGGAAACACCTCACTGAGGTCCCGCCCCTGGCCATCAGCTCTGCCGCCGTGTGCCAAGGCACCCAACCTCACGAGGGGCTTGGAGGCTGGCACTCCTCCGCCCATTGTCCCTGGGGGAACGGAGCCTCAGAAGCTCTCCTGCTGCACGTCGCTGTGCTGGGAAGCATCTGTCTGTCCCAGTGCCGCCTCTGTGTGTCCCTGGTAAGTGGGGGAGCGCTCAGCTTGCCTGGGCAGCGTGCGGTGGCGGCAGATCGCTGCTGCCCACCTCTCACCTGTGCCAGGCTCCAGGTGGGAAGCACAGGGCAGCCTGCACCCCCAGGCCCAGCCGGGGTCCTAGCGACCCTCTGAAGTCTAGTCTGGGCACCCCCCACCACGCTGGGGTGGGGGAGTGGGACAGCCAGAACTGCAGCAAGGAACCAGCCGGAAGTGACACCTGCAGGCGCCTCGGGCAACACCTGCAAAGCATCCAGCCTCTTTGTTCCCGCCCCATCCCCCAAAGGGGCAGAGGGCCACGGGCAGGAGGGGTGGAGAGCAGAGCCTGGCTGGGCAGAGGGGCCCCGGCCCGAGAGACAGCAGGTCAGAGTACAGCGTGGTGGGGGCCGGGGTCTCCTGCGCGAGTCCCGCCGGGGGCAGGACTGGCCGGGCGTCTTGGTCTTGGCGGGGCTGCACGCCTCGCGCCGTGGAAGGGCAGGCGTATAGGTCCCCCGGGAGCTCGCGCGGCCTCCTGGCTCTCACCCGGGAGGGATCCAGGCGCAGGTGGGCGGGGGCGACTCCCCTCGGGAGGGACACCGAGCCGAGGAGCGCTGGGAGCCAGACCCCTGCGTTGGGGTCAACTAGGTCTCAGGTTCCCGTTCCGGAACGGGAAGTGGTGGCTATGCGACGCTGGCAAGCTGCTTGTCTGTAAAATGGGGACGTTGACCTCAGGGGGTGCTCAGCAGAAGGAGCTCACAGGGGACGGGGCATGTGACTTCTGGGACAGAGAGGGCCGTGGCTGCTGGTAGAGCCGCCAGCCTCAGCAAATAAAAGTGCAAGGGGCCCAGTTCCTTTTGGATTTCAGATAAACAGTGAATGGTTTTTTAGTGTAAGTAGGTTCTAAATATTGTGTGGGGCAAACTCACACCAAAAATTATTGGTGGTTTGACTGAAATTCAAGTTTAACTGGGCGCCACCACGAAAGGGAACGCACCCAGGAGCCGCCTGTGGGACTGGTGTGGGTTCTCCTTCTTGGGCCCGTGACTCCGTCTGTCTTCCCTCCTCTGGGCCCTGTCCCCACAGTGACCAGTCCTGGTCCGGTGGCGGGAGAGAGAGGGGCCCCTGCCCCCTGCTGGGCTCCAGCTTACCTTCGCAGCACTCGCCGCCACCCAGCAGCAGGTGAGGCCCAAGACAAGCAGCTGCAGGTGCGCCACGGTGTGGGTCTGCCTCAGGGCGCCCTCCCTGCGGGCTTCAGGTATTTATGGGGCCTAAGCCAAGGTCACGTGCATGTGCACGTGCTCTGGGACACACACAAACACACATCAGTGCAGGGATGGCCCTTCTTTCCCAGGGCCGGCTGCTCCCGGGTGCCCTGGTGCCCGCAGTGCACCTGTGCAGGTTGCTGCCCACTCTGTAGGTTGCAGAGGCAGGTGGCGGGTCGAGGGGGAGCTGCAAGGCCGGGGACCGGCTGGGCTTGGCTCATTTCCAAGGCTCGGCGCGACCCTCGGAGAAACGCTCATGCTTGCTGTCTAGGCCCCGCCTGGGCCCAGCTCAGCAGAGGGAGCTCACAGGGGACGGGGCATGTGACTTCTGGGACAGAGAGGGCTGCAGCTACAGGGCGCCAGTGTGGTTGGCACTTGTTATCTCCAGGAGCTTTCAGTGAGGGCCCCCTGCAATCCTGCTCCAAGGGTGTGGGGGAGATGTCACCATCCGGCGTGATGAGTCCCGGGAGAGAGGACAAGAGGCTCTGGGTAGACACGGAGGTGGCGGTGGTGGCAAGGGGGCTCTAGCCCACCCTTAAGGGCTTCTCTGAGGAAAGAAAGGGCCCAAGCAAAGGCCCTGGGGCACACACGGGCAGAGAGAGACAGAGACAGGGAGGGCAGGAGGCAGAGGGGGAGGGGAGAAGGGAGGGAGAGAGGGAAAAGTGAGCACAGAGGTCTGAGGTCATAGCAGAGGAGGCCACTGATGTTTTCTGTGAACATGGGTTACCCTGGTAACCAGAAAAGCTTGAGAAAAGTGAAAGACCACCATGAACAGTCTTACGATGGTGTCTTTAAGAAGCTCAGAGCATCTGAGGTCACCTCTCACAGAAGACACTCAGATGGTGGCCCTGCCCACTGCGCAGTGCTTTTCTGTGATGGGGACAGTGGCAGTAGTGGCCCCAGCCCTCCCAGTCAATGGCCCCTCTGGCCCGGCCCTGGCTGCCCCTTCCGGACCTGGAGCCTGTGCTTCCTACACCCACTGCAGCCCCGCCCACGCCACCCCTGCGGCCACAGCCAGGGCTGCATCGACCTACAGATCCACTGCTGTCCCTCCGTCTGCCAGCGCCCAGACCTTCTCTGGGCTTAATGGGCAGAGGGGGCCGGAGAAGGGTGGGGAGGGTTGGGAGGGAGAAGCGAGGGGGAAGGGGCCCTGCAGGTGTGGCCTTGGTATTGCCCAGGAGGAAATGCATTTACACCCGCCTTTTGCCCAGTTTAATTCTGAGAACCTGTTCTTAATAAAGGAAGTAGTTCTGAGCTGGGTGGGAGGATGACCTTTTGTGCTCAGGGACACTCATTGCAGCCTTGTTTATAGTGGCTGAGCAGGAAAGGGGAGAGACAAAGAAGGTTGGGGAGAGGGTTGGGGGCAGGGGGGAGGGAAAAGGAGGCCTACTTTTTGCTTTGTTTTTGTTTTTTAGAGACAGGGTCTCACCACTATGTTGCCCAGGCTGGTTTCAAATTCCTGGCCTCACGCAATCCTCCTGCCTCAGCTTCCTAGAGTGCTGGGATTGGGCCACTGCACTCCAGCCTGGGCAACAGGGCAAGACCCTCTCTTAAAAAAAGAAAAGAAAGCTACTGTAAACACGTATTTGTGTGGACATAAGTTTTCAATTCCTTTGGGTAAATACTAAGGAGCTGTGATTGTCAGATCATATGGTAGGAGGATGTTTTATTTTTTAAGAAACTGACAAACTGTCTTCCAAAGTGGCCGTACCACTCTGTATCCCCAACAGCAATGAGCGAGAGTTCCAGTTGCTCCACTTCCTCACCAGCATTTGGTGCTGTCAGCTTTCTGGATTTTGGGCATTCTCATGTGTGCAGTAGTATCTCAATGCTTTAATTTGCATTTCCCTGATGACATACGCTTAGGATATCTTCTTATATGCTTATTTGTGTATTTCTTTGGTGTGGTGTCTGTTAAGGTCTTGGGTTCTCTTATTGTTGAGTTATAAGACTTCGCTGTATATTTTGGATAACAGCCCTTTATCAGGTGTCTGTCACTAATATTTTCTCCCAATCTGTGACATGTCTTTTCATTCTCTTGATAGTGTCTTTGGCAGAACAGAAATTTTTTAATTTTAATGAAGCACGGCTTATCGATTCTTTCGTGGATAGTGCCTTTGGTGTTGTGTCTAAAAAGTGATCGCCGAATCCAAGGGCACATATGTGGATTTGCTCTTATGTTATCTTCCATAAGATAGAAGGTACAGTTTTGTGTTTCACACTCAGGTCTGTGATCCAATTTGAGTTCATTTTGGTCAGGGGTGTCAGGTCTGTGTCTAGATTCGTCTTGTTATGTGGCTGTCCAAGAGCTCCAGCACCACAAGGCCCACATTCCAACAACGTGGGTGGCTATCAGTTTATTTAACAAGTGGCCCCACATGGTCCTGCACAGAGGAAGTGATCAATGAACACTGAGGACTGAATGTCCCCACAGACACCCCAAAGAGACTAACGTTGTCCGCCCAGTAACAGAAGTCGCCAGCTGGCTTCCTGGATACATTTGTCCAGTGTGTCCGTTAGTGGGTCCTGCTTTTGAGAACTCACTTTCTGCGGCATTCATTTCAACCAAAAGGGATGTGGCTAACACGTGAGGTCTCGGGACCTCCTTGAAGCCCCGGGTGCCTGCCCCTGCGTGCCCGGCCCCTGCCCTGGTGTGGACTGTGCGGACCCGCTGCGCCACAGCCCCGGGCACTTCTCTGACTCCTTGGTTCTCACAAAAGGCTGGGACAGGGAAGTCAAGCAAAACTAGGGGCCGTGTGTGGCTGTCGCGCATCGACTGCCCTGTGGTAATTCAGTGGACAAAATTTAATCTCAAAGTCCAGACTTGCTGGAAGTATCAAAGTTTTAGATTGATAAAAGTGATAAAGGAGAAACTAACTGAAATGATAAAACAGCACATAGAGCTCAGGCAAATAATTTTTTTAAAAAAATTGCTTTTGGGGGCGCTGGAAAAACAGTTTTCCAAAGGGAAGTTTTCCTGTGAGGGCAAATGCACGTGTGCCGACGTCGTACAAAGCAGAACTGCAAATCAGACACAGGTCCCACCCTGCCACCGCCACTTCCAGCCGTGTGGCCTGGGCCTGTCGTCTTCAACCTCTCTGAATTTCGTATTTCCCCGGTATCTACCCACAAGGAAACTATCGGTGAGAAGGTCTTGGCACAACAAATATTAGAGTCTATACTTCTAATTGTTTATGAGATGCTCTAAAAGGAACACTTAAACTTTGATTTCAGCAAAGAAACATCCATTTAAAAGTTGTAGGGGACCTATCAGTAAATGGCCTAAACACACAGAGAAGTTACTTGAGTGACCACTTGGATCTGGAAGCACAATCGTGCATCTGTAGCAGAATTTACCTTGAGGAGAAAGAGCAGTCTCCAGCCGTGCTACCCTGAGCGCGCCTGATCTCGTCTGATCTCGGAGGCTACGCAGGGTGGGGCCTGGTTAGTACTTGGATGGGAGAAAGAGCAAAGCAACTTAAACCATCCTTAGTAGCCTTATTATTTTATCATATATTACTTTATGTAATTTATAATTTGTTATTTAAATTCATATGCTTTAAATGTCATCATTATGACTTACTATAATATCTTATATTTTGAAACTAGCATTTGTATGTTATAGGAAAAAGAAAACAAGTAGTTATGCTGGTGTTGCCGGGACTCAAGACATTCAGCACAGGTGAAAAAAGAAACAAGTGGAAAACTAGAGAAGTAAAACCCTGTAATCTTACATTTTAATTGGAAAATATCTGCATGGATTCATAACTTGTTTTTCTCTTTGTGAAAAAATACATTTTTCCTAGCTCTATTCAAAAGCCCTAGCAGTAAGGAAGCCCCACCGAGACTGGGGTGGCTCCACACCACTCACCCCAGGGAGGGCACCCTGGCCTGGGGCAGGAGACGCCTGGGGCCCTCGTGGCAGCGGAAAGCCAGGCACCAAGGACCAAGGGTTGTGTCAAAGGACTACAGGAGCAGACCTGAGGCCGCCCTCTGGCCAAAGATGGACAAGTTGGGCACCAACATCCTGCGACTGACAGAGGCAAACCTGAGAGCTTCCTTAGAAGCCCAGGACCCCGGCCCCACCCCACCCCACCCCACCCCATCATCACCGGCCACTGCGAGGCACTCGCTCATTATTCCGAAAACTGGTGGCGGGGAGAGTCAGGCACTTCCCCACCTTTTCTGTCCAAATGGCATTTCGGGTCATCAAATAGATGACGAGGAAGAGTCCTTCATGGAATTCCAGCTAATAAATGCATAAGGACAACAGGATTCTAACACTACACATTCTGCGACCCCTAAGGAGGCGGTAGGTCCAGGCGATCATCAAGGATTGTTAGAACCACTAGATAAAAGACCGCTGGATCAGGCTGGCAGCTCCTGGACCCGCTGGTCAATCGTAGTGTCACCGCAGGGACCCAGCAGCCGTCCTGTGCCTCCGACCGGATGCGCCGCCTAGGAAGAGGCCTGGAACCCGGATCTGATGGAGCCTGGTCCAGTTCACAGGAAACACAGGGGCGGGAGGAGCACGTCCGCCACCACCGCGTGGAAGCAACCAGCCTGTCTAGAGTGGGGACGTTCTATAGAACAAGGGACCTGTGTGACAAAGGAATGGTAGGGCTGGTTGAAGGCAGCGAGTTCTCGCTACTGAGTGTTTGGTCGGCTACAGAGCAGACCCTTGTTCCGTCCCCTCTTCTCACTACCAGACCTGACCAGTCTGAGAAAATGAAGATGGGTGACTTGCATGCACATGGCGCAGGTGGCAGTTTTGCCACAGACTCAAGGAGACACAGCAGCCATGCGCAGAGCAGGGTCCTGGCAGGTCAGCTGGCCTGCTCCTCCCCAGGCAGGTTCCCAGGACGGGCCAGGAGCCAGTCAGCAGGATGGGGCCTGCCTGAGGCATGCGGCTTCAGAATCGATGTACACCAAGCTGCTGAAAGGACTCAGGGTCACACTAAGTGGTGGGGTGACAGCCCATCTCTGGCTTGGGTGCTGCCCTGAGGCTGCAGGAGGCAGGCTTGGCTCCACGGGGCCTCAGCAGGGCCTGTTTCCCGAACTTGTCAAGAACACATCCATTTGGAGAAAAAATGAGTCCAGGCTTGAGGTCCTCTTGGCTGCCCTCACCCTACCCTACTGGAGGTGGGGGCATGGGCCAGCACTGCCAGCACGAGGCCACTGAATGCAGGAAGGAACAAATGAAGGCACTAAGGGAACCCCAAGTCCCAGGCTAGAGGAAACTGCCCATGGCTCTAACATTCCAACACAGAAACCAAGACTCCTCAGGAACATTGATTTAATAGGACAATTCCAGCTGGGCATGGCCTTTGCCAAAGCTACCCCAAATGGATGGGGTCCACAAGGACAGCCTCTGGCCACAGTGACCATGGACCAGGCTCCCCGAACCGTCTCTGCCACCAGAGTCACGAGACCCCAGCTGAGACCAGCCCTGCCCCAGGTGCGCCATCTCCACCTGCAGCTGGCCCCTGGCTTGTCTCAGCCAGAGAGGTGGTAGGTGCCGGCTCGGTGCCGGACGCTGGGCTGGTTCACACGTGCGCAGAGCCAGAGGGCAACACAGAGCAGCAGGTCACGTGTGCCCAGCGCTGGGTCAGCGGCGCCCTTTGCTGGGATCCCCAGCTTTCCTCAGAGGGGGCTCCTAAGGCCATTGGCTCTGTGTGGGTGGCACGGGGGAGCTATGGCTTGCCCTGGCTCCCTCATTAGGCCGGTCACCAGTCTGGCCTGGTCAGGGAGGCCCGGCCTTGGGCCCAGGGCCCCGTCACACGTAGTCCAGGATCTCCGTCTCCATCTCGTTTTCACTGCCGTCCGACGGCTTGAACTCCTCCTCCTCCTCCTCCTCCTCCTCCTCCTCATCATCGTCCTCCTCGTCTTCTCCGGACTCGTAGGTCAGCTGCTCTTTCCCGCCGTCGGCCTTGGTGGGGCTGGAGAAGAGAGCTGGGCGAGGAGAGGAGACAAGGCCAGTGTGTCCCGACGCAGGCTCCGAGGAGTCCGCTCACTGCTACCGCTGGCGGGGGATGGGCTGGGGGCACGGGGTGTCTGTAGTTTAACAAGCACTTGAGGGAACACTGAGGCAGGCAGCTTTGACAACCACTTTCCCAGAGGGGCCACAGGCAGCTTCAGGGACCCATGGACCCCCCACGAGTATACACCCCATTTTTCCTGGGAGAAGTTTCATTACCTCAATTAGAGCCTTAATCTTGATGATCAGAACCTAAAGGAGACCCAGTCCATGTCCCAAACAAGGCTAAGAACCCCTGCTCTGGTTGGGTCTGTGGGGTGTGGCTGGTCCAGGCCTCCCCCCAAGCCTGGGGGGAACCCCTGAGAGGGCCCCAGCTCTCCCCAGCCTCACCAGGACTACAGCCCGCAAGCGCTCACCCACCTCGCTGCCTCAGTGCTAGCGCCTGTCCCTGCCAGGGCTGCCCGGTCCCAGGAAGGAGCCAGACAATGCAGAGCAGAGCGGCTGGCCGCGGCTCCCACTGTCCCTGCCCACCCATGGAAGGAAACAGAGGCAGAGCATGCCCGCGTGTGGCTGGAAGATGTGGGCTGGTGTCAGGGCATGCGGTGGGGGCCGACTGCAGGCCAGGCCAGCTCCTGCTATAGGCCCCAGGCTGAGTGCCACAACCCCGGCCCCAGACAGCCTCAGCGGGCAGCGCTGGCTCCTAGGCTGGGCCCTGACTCACAGGCCTCCCTCCCACCAGGGGCAGGGGCAAGATAAACCCACTTGGGTGCAATTTCTTGGAAACGGGTCCATTAGGGACACTTCCTGTCCCCAGAGTGGGTCCCCAGGCATCTGGGGCCTCCCTTCACCCCAAGCAGTTCTCACCAGGCCTCTTAGAGCGGATAGTCTGCCGGGTCATGAGGGACATGGCGTCCCTCAGGTCGTCGCTGGTCTTGGGGAGGCACCACCCATCCCGTTCTGTGCACGAGTTCTCCGCCCCATCATTCCGGTGAATGATCTTCTGCAACCTGGGGGCAGGGAGAGGGACGGGGGTATAAAGTCCCCGGGTGCCAGTATCCAGTTTTGGCAGATGGAGCTGTACTGAGAAAAACAGCACTGAGCACGAAGCCTGCAGAGCTGAATGTGCACGAGGGGCATGCGTGAGAGCTGTGCGCTCCCAGCTGGGGTCCTGAGCCTGGGTGGTCCCGGGACCCCGGGCCCTGCCCGCAGAGCTGGGTGTGTGCCTACGAGTGTGTTTCTGCTGAGTCACAACTTTTACCAGAGCTCAAGCCACAGTTAACGGGCTCCCGCCTCCCCGCCCCGTGCCCGACCCCTGCAGCTTTTCAAACTTTACTAAGAACAAGCAGATAAAAGGTTTCTGGGATCTGACCAGCCCCAGGATTAGGACCCGCCTCATGGACCTTCATGTGGGCAATGGAGGGGGAGGGGCAAAGACACAACCACAAGAATGGCCTATGCCCAGCGAGGAGTCGCTGCTCAGAGCGCAGCCACAGTGCGGGCGGCAGCACCAGGCGCCCAGACGGGCGAGTCTCCTTGCAGAGAGTAAGGCTGACGAGAAGCGGAAGAGCTGGCGGCCAACACTGTGATCCTGGCAGTTTCCGAGCACTCCCCGAGTCCCACGGGCCCCCCGGCGTCTCAGGGCCCCTCCCGTACATACTCTTCCACGTTCAAATCGCACAACTGGTAGAACATTTGTCGATAGGGCGGCAGGCCCCCCTCCCGGAAGATGTAGACCGAGTCCTGGTGAAAGGAGGGAGAGAGACAGGGAAAGTGAGCTGGAGCCCCTGGGGCGGGCGGTGTTGGAGACCCCCACGCTGCACCGCGGGCTCCCGTGGGGGATTCTCCAAGGAGTTGGCTGGCCACCAGCACCAGGTCAGGCAGACAGGCCGGAAGGATGGTGAGCAGATGTGCAGAAAACAAGCTCTGACTCCCCAGGAGGTTCTGGGAGGGGGAGGAAGCAGCCAGGCCCTCCCGGGGCCACCAGGAACCTCGAGGCGCCTGCGTGACGGCCACGGTGCTTATGGTGCGGTGCCGGGCTAGTCTTGTGCTGGGCTCTGCTCTCTACGCAATCTGACCTGCTCATTCCTCACCAACTGCCCCTGCTGGTCATCCTATGTCCCCCACGCTGCCTTGACATCTTGTATGGGAGGAAAGCAGGGTTTAACGAGGGTCGGTTTTCTCCTCTCCCTGCCTGGGCATGCAGTCCTGGAGGCAGGGACGATGGCCTCCAATGTGAGAGTCCCTGAGAAGGAGGCCACGCAGGCCATGACATGGTTCCCCTCCCCTTGATGACAGCAAAGGTGTGGAATACCTGGAGGCGCAGGCACGGGGCCCAGCAGCACTGATGACAGCCCGTCTCTGCTGCATGTACACGCTGCCACCCACTACCCTAGGCAGGTGATGCCAGGGTGGGGGACGCTCCCTGCCTGGCCTCCCCCGGGACCGTGGAGGGGGTCATGGGGGCCCCAGTGTGGGGAAGCCTTTGGGAACTGCCAGCTCCTGCTGGGTGACCACAACGATGAAATCATGAGCCTGAGAGGCTCCTGCCTGTCCTGGCGCCGTGCCCAGCCCCCAGCTGTAGTGCGGCTGGTCTGCTCTGGCTCGGCGCTCATGCGAGTGCCCGATGCCCACCATTCCAGGGCTGTCATGTGGCTCGGTGGAGCCCGAGCTCACAAAGGGCGGCCACACACAGCTGCTGGTGTTGTTTCCCTCTGAGACATGTCACCACCTCTTTGCCCAGATGGTCCTCAATACCCATGGCCCTGGGTGGCTCGTACCCCAGGTTCTCACCCTCCCAAAGGTGGGGTCGGGCCAAGGCGCTGGGAGTGCAGAGCTGCCCCAAACCCCCCAGATGTTACCCACAGGGCACGCGGCCCCGAGAGCGAGAAGCCTCACGTCCTCCCTCGGCCTTCACCCTCAGCCAGACAGAGGCTGCTCCCTCTGGGGGCTCACGGGGCACCCACCTTGAGCTTGTACTTGTTGGAGGCCGATTTCCGAGCACCGGTTGTCCCTGACGGGCCCAGGCCCTGCTTCAGGTCATGCATGGTGACGAGCTGGCTGGCTGCATGGGGACAATGGCAGTGCTTTGGCATATGGGGGTGGGGATGGAGGTGTCTCTCCCAACCACCCTACCCTGCCCCCCACCTGCCCATCCACCTCTACAAGGAGAAGTGACCCCAGGAAGCGCCTCCCCATCTGCTGTCCAGACGCCCCCATCCTTGGCATTGGCATGAGGGCGAATCACTCCTGACCCACAGAGCGACCCCGCGGCACTTACGCGTCTTTTTGACGGTGATGGGGAGGCTGTAGTTGTAGGTGCTGCGCTTCGCTTTGACAGGCAAGTCACTGGGGGCGTAACCTGCAGGCAAGGGCGGGCGTGTCGGGCAGGCGGGCACACGGCCCACCTGCAAATGGCACTGGCTTCACGCTGGAGGGGGGACCTGGGTTCCCAGGGCCAGCTCCTGAAAGAGGCGACCCCAGACCGCCAAGCACACCACTGGAGTAACAGTCACCAAGGTGGCCCAGCACTGCCACAGGGCAGGGACACTGTGGAGCTCACTGCAGTCCTGGGCTTTAACACTCACTAGTCCCCGGCCCACGTCACAGGACCACAGGTCACCGTGAAGCGAGTGAACCAGGGACTGTGGTTCAGGAACGGAGGGTCAGCAGTGGGCGAGGACAGAGCTGAGCCTGCGTTTCAGTCTCTCCTGCACCCAGCATATTCTAACCCGGGGCGGGGAAAGGCTTTCTCTCTCCAAAAGAGCAAGGTCTTATGACAAAAGAGAATGCTAGAAACTGAAAGATACAAAGAGAGAAAGCAAGCAAGCTAAGCTTTTAGTAGTTTTTACCGTATTTCATTCCACAACGGATTCGGAAATCAAGGACTTGATAAATCTTGGCATCTGGGTTTTTTCGGGGGTCATACCCAAATCGGATCCACAGGCTTCGCCAGGGGCCCGTTATCTGGAGACAGAGCAGGTGGGACGTGAGGCGAAGTCAAGGCCCAGGCCCCGGCGGTACAGAGCCCTACGCCGAGGCAGGACAGCCTGAGCGCCGGGGACACAGCTCTGGACGCCCAGCTCAGCTCTGCCGTGGGCCTTTCCAGTCCTTGGTCTTCCTGTCAGACGGAGGTGACAAGAGCACCCTTTCCCACACTTTTGGGAAGGATCAAACGAGATAATGCCCATGGCGCCTTTGCCATGGTGCCTGGCACACAGTAAGCACCTGATGTCACTGCTGTCCTAACGGATGGGGTATCTTGTCTCCAAATGGTGCTTCTGAAGTACTTACGTCAAGAAGCCAATGGCAAGTGACAGAGAGGGCCCTCTGGAGTCTAGAGTCTAGAGGGGTGGGAGGACCGACTCTCTCACGCCCGCCACTCGTCGCCAGGCCTCACGGTCACGCCACACACCGGCCTCCCCAAATGCTCTGCGTGGGTGCCTCGGCAGGGAGGATCCCTTTCTCGTCTGCACCGTTTGGAACCTCAGTTGTGACACTCCCTCTCTATCCCCCTCCTAGACCCACGGAACCCATCGACACAGGTGGGAGGAGCTGAGGCAGCCGCTGTGGGCAGGGGCCTGGGCCCTGCAGCCAGACAGGCTGGGCTCTGCCACCTGCAGCTGGTGGACATGGCACATCATGGTCATGCCACCTCTCTAAGCCTAGACTTGTCCTTAGAATTAAAAAGCGACCCCTGCTGCCACCTCCAGGGAGGAACACAGGATCTGATGTGCACACAGTGCTTAACCAGTGCCAGAAAGTTCTCACTACCAGGTCATCCTATGTTGCATAATCCCTTTACTTATAAGTCAGGTAATTAATCCTTTATCCCAAAATCATCCAAATATGGCCAAATAAGTTATTAGGAGATTGTGGAGAGCCCCCTGACTCCAGGAGCTGGAAACCTTTTTCGTTGCCTTTAACAAGCTATCTCAGGGTGCCAGGCTGGGGAGAGGTGCAGGATGTGGGGGTTGGACAGGAGCCACCTGCTGTCACTGCAGTTCTAAGACATCACATCAGGGACCAAGGCCCATGTGGCGAGTGTGCAGCCGACACTTACCATGTAATAGGCCATGTAGGGAAGCAAGACCTTGAGCTTGTCGGGGTGGACGCTGATGTTGGCCTTGACAGCGTTCCGGGACCAGATGGGACGGATCTCAAACAGCTGGGGAAGGCCAAGGGCAGAGGCTGAGATGAGCCCAGCAGCTTCCACCCTCCTGCCCCAGGCTCCCCAGCACCAGAGGAGTGGGTAGAGGGCAGGGGCTGGACAGGCCGAGCCCGGCCCCGAGACCCCTGCACTCACTCCCTCCCTCCTCCTGCCCTCAGCAGCCTGGGCTGATGCCTGGCATGTGCAGGTGTGTGGCCTGGGGGCCTTGCAGTGACCACAAGGGACATGGTCCCCATCCTCATACAGCTCACACTGCAGCAGGGGAGCAGGGCGAGGGGGCGTGCCGGAGCTCCAGGACCCCCAAGCAGCCCCAACCTAGAGGGCAGGTGCCTGAGGTGGGACTCCACCAAGGCTGAAGGGGACAGCCTGGCCCGCAGAGGACAGCAGAAGGCCAGTGTGGCCAGAGTGTGGAGGGCCAAGGCAGAAAAGTCCTCGGGAGCCAGTTTGGGAACATGGGCTGTGTCCAGAGGATGACAAGGAAGCACAGACAGTGCACACCAGACTGCCAGAAATTCAACAAGGTACCCACACAGTCTGGCAGAAGAAACCTGCCCCCATGAGCAGTGTGTAACTTTAGCTTAAGCAAGGGAAGAGGGATGTGCCTCACTGTGAACTTGCTGTCCGCGCCTGAGGGGACACAACAGCCAAAGGCCCAGCCTCAGACTTGAAGGCACCTGCAAGCCTGAGGGGGAGGCGGGCACCCAGCAGCAGGGCTGCAGCTCTCACGGGGAAGAAAGTGCTGGGCCCTGGCGCACAGCAGGTGCCCGCTAGCTCTGTTGCAACGAGTGGACGGATAAATCAAAGTTCAGTGGGTCCCAGAGCTCCACGTTTAAGTCACATTTGAACAATGTACCCATTTTTTTTTTTTTTTTACCACCCCCAAAGGGACTTCTTAAGAATTCTAAGAAGTATTTTCAACCTTGGGAATGCAGGGCTTATACCAACGTGGCTTTCAGATGTGACAACTAGAGATGAAAAATTCCATGTACTAAGGAATGAGTCGGACAAAGTTAAGTAAAGCCAAGCCACCACCTGGGACAGAGAGCAGCTGGGTAAACAGTGGTCAGAACCGACGCCGGCGTCGGCGGGGCTGGCAGACAGGACTAACCTTCCTCAGCTCCTCCTCCACCTTCCGGTCCATGGGGTTGGTGCAAACTCTCTTCCATGTCTGGACTGCAGCCTCCAGTGGCCTCATGGGCACCTCGTCCTCCTCGAAGTTGACAAAGATGGCATTGTGGGGGCGCCGGGCCCTGCTCAGGCCAATCAGATTCTCGCCCGAGATGGGGGGGTTATTGTAGCCTTCCCTGGGGGCCAAGAGTACCAGTAAGAACAGGACCACCAAGGATGATTCCAGGCACAGGCCGGGCCAGACCAGGCAGGCACCCAGTGGCACAAGTTTGTGAGCCTTTTCCCTGGAAACCTGAGTTTGGGAGAGGACCACAAAGCTGGCTGCTGAAGCAATCTGTGTTCTCAGGCTGAGACCAAGGAAGAGAAGCAGCTGTGACTGCCAATGCAGCTCAGAAACTGGGCCAAGGCAAAGGCCCCAGAGGCTGGGGTGCGGGAAAGGGCACCTGTCATAAGGCTGGTGGCCTCACAACTGCACTAAGCCATGCACGGATAGTAACACATAGCCAGTGAAACACCGGACAGTCTAAATGCCCATCAGCCAGGAATGGTGAAATTGCTTAAGGCTCAGCCACACAGAGAACACGATCGGTTGTCAAAATAGTGACAAGAGCTATACTTACTGATGTTAACTTTTACATGACTCACGTATTTAACCCTTCAAACACTCCTACAGGGAAGGAACAATTTTCTCCCATCCAAGTACTGACCGGGCCCAACCTTAAGGAACAATTTTCTGATGAAGCAGCTGAGGCCGCAGGGATTAGGAAACTTGCCCAGAGCCGTAGCACGGTGGGTCCGTCACCGTAACGAGGGCACCACTCTGGCGGGGGTGCCGATGTGGGGGAGGCTGTGCGTGGCGGGGGGTATGTGGGAAATCTCTGTACCTTCCTCTTATTTTGCTGTGAACCTACAACTGCTCTAAAAAACGTCTTCAAAAGAAAAAAACATAAAGGATTCTAGAACTCTCTCTCTCTGTGTTGGCACAGAATACACTTAGGCAGACATCTCTCCCAAAATACTTGTAGTGGTCGCCTCTTTAACACTGGATGTCAAACATCAAACTTACAAAAAGCAGGGATACCAGGATAAAGAATCCCCGTAGCCCGTCACCTATCACCACGTGGCTGATTTTGTTTCACCCACACTCTGCCCAACCCACTAAATCATTTTGAAATACATGTAAATTATGTCCCGGACATCACACAATTTCATCCAGGTGATTAACACCTAATTTTCTACATGCGCACACACCCTTTGCACACGTACAGAGAATAATGAAGCGATTTGCACATTGGGAAACAAAATTCAAAAAATGAGATCAAGACTGGGTCCCTTTTTTTTTTTATGTGCCTCCATTAGAAACCGCCCCAGACGGGTGCGACATTATCTTGTTTTCAAAGACACCCTGAAGGAAAGCCAGGCAGCCCACCTGTGCCATCCCTGCAGGGAGAGGCCCAGGGCTGCCTCTGCTGCACCCCCGCCGCCTCCCTTGGCAGATTCAGGCTGTGGTCTGGGCGAGTCACCGTGATTCTAAGCCCATGGAGAACTGTTGGCAGGGGCTGGGGGTGCTAACGGCAAAGTCAGCAGGCCCACCCTGGAGGGCTCCCCCAAGGAACAGGAGGGGCTCGACGTCCTTCGGCAGGAGGGACACTACCAGGCCAGCCTCCTAGCCTCTCCTCTGCCCACCTGGTGAGCTCGGCCTCCCAGACCCAGGGAGGGGCCCACGAGGAGGCGGCTAGGCCTCCTCCGCACCCGGGAAGGCCAGCGGAGCAGAAGAGTCGATAACAGCCCTGGAGAAAAGGCAGGTTCTTCCCACATGGTGGAATACCAATAACCCACATGGGGAGGAAGAAGGGCCAAGGACAGCTGCTCTCCTCCCTCATCCCCACTCCAGAGGCTTGGGAACAGCTGTCTGCTGGCCCCCCGGGGCAGAGCAGCGACTCGGATGCTGCCATCCGGTGCCAGGTGCAGGAGCCTAGAGGGTGCTCTGTTCTTCTGTATATTTTTGTTTGATTCTGAAAAGAGTAAATTGCTGTGTGGGGGAAAAAATCAAAACATTTTAGAAATATGTAACTTTAAGAAGGGATCATATCACCCCCTGCTTAAAACTCTCATACTAAGTATAATACACCAGAAAATCATATCATTCTTCATGCACTCTACGTGCAAGGTTTTCAGCAGCGAGGCGACATGACCTGACTGTTTAGTTATATATTTCCGTAGTTTTTTTCTTTCCTAACAAGCATAATTTACTCTTACAATCCGAAAAAAAGGGGGGGTGGTGGTGGCAGGGGATGGCACAGGTTAAACAGACCTGGGAGACGTCAATCAAAAGCAATATGTGTGGACCTTGTTTGGCTCCTAAGTTGCTTTTGAGACAATCAGGACAAACCGAACAAGGACAGGGTACGGCTGGAATCACGGAGGACCGTCGAATCTGTTCGGTATGATACTGGATTGCAGGTGTGTTTGAAACATGAGTCCTTCCCTGCTGGAGTCCGTGCGGAGCCGCCGGGGTGGCGGGGGAGGAGGAAATGAGTGGCACAGTGCTGCTCACTGCGGAAGCACGTGACGGGCACACGGAGGCCACGCTTTGAGGTATGTTTGAACTTTCCATACCATTTTTCAAAGGCAGAGAACAATACACCTTCTCCTGAGGATGAAATCTAAGCCCCTTACCACGGTCTACGAGACCTTCCCCTGCCACTCTCCCTGGCTCGCTCTGCTCTAGGGCACCAGCCTCCTAACGCTTCTTTTGCATGTGCAGATCCCCTGGTCTAGAACATTCTCCCTGGATCTCCACCAGCCTAGCTCTGTTCTCTCTCAAGTCTGTTTTGGGTGTCAGCTCCTACGAGGTCCACCATCAGCCTGGCCCATAGCTTGCCCCATCCGACCCAGTCCCTGTCATTTCCAGCACCCATCTGTTTCTTGTGTTCTGTCCGGCTCCCTGGCCCGAGTGGTCCCTCATCTGCCGTGTGGTCCGTGGACCCAAGGCTCCAGAGAGTGCCCTGGGCCGAGACCGGGGCTCCATCAGGACTTGTTGAAGGAAATATTTGATGAGGAACGAGAAAGTCCTCCCACCCCCTCAGAGAAAAGTGTTCTGAGCCCAATCTTCCAGACTTTTCTAGGCTTCTATTATGAAACCACAGTTTGTTTTTATTCCACAAAATCTGGTGTAACACCTGCCTTTTCCATAGAGCAAGGGAGGCCCCAGGACGTGTGCTACGTCAGTCCTCAGAGCCCGCTCTCCTGAAGGCTGCGTTTCTGGAAGATTAAAACATGCTACGGAGCAATTCTTCACTACACAGCACTCCTGTGGGCATGTTTCAGTCTTTTTCCTTCACTTTCCTTGCTCCCCAAATCTTCACACCGGGCCCAGAGATACTCGCTGAGGGCCTCTCGCAGGCCAGGCTCTGCCCTGGGCACTGGGGTACGACAGAGGCCAAAACAGGCCAAATCACCACCTTTGGGGAGTTTACATCAAAATGAGAAATTGTTTTAAAAATTGTCTCTTTGTATATAATTTTAAAAAGTAAAGCACATAAAAATGAGAACAGCGTGGCAGTGAGCGATGAGCAAGGCCAGGGAGTGGGGAAGACGGTGGGACGTGGACACTGAGGCCGAGTCTCCCTCCTCGCGTGCACAGCGAGGGGGACGGGAACCCTGGGAATCACTGCGGGCAGGTGAGACACACACGGCCCTGCTGCACAGGATGCGGCATGTTTGGCAGCGAAGCTCGTGGACATTATTAATCTCAGGTTGGGTACTTTCAAACCCGTTTCCTTCTTTTCCCATACTATTCAGTCTTGGCTTTTAGAAAAAAGGAAATACTATTCCTTCATGTCAATGTGGGCTGGTCTCCGGCATAAAACCAACATTTGACAAAGCCCAGGCCTGCCTTTCCAACAACCCCTGGGGGCTCTAATTATGTCAAGAGCATCTAAATTAAAGAATTCATTTCATTTGAATTACATGTGGTCTTGGTAGGGATGTACACTTGGGAGGTGGCGAGGCGGGTGGCGGACGGGCTATGAGCCATGTCCATCTGGCTTCTCACGACCCTTAGCGTACAAGAAACCACTGATTCCAGAGACACTGCGTGCCTGTCCTTAGGTGCTTACATTCCAGAAGGAACGCAGATCATACCCAAGTACACAATAGGCAAGATCTGTGTAGAAAGTCACAGACTCCTGGAGGAAGATGGCACCGGGAGACGGGCCAGGGGTTGTTGGATGGTTCTCTGAAGCCACCTCCAGCCACACATGGCAGGCCAGGAGATGGCAAACAGGTGGGGCGAATGGGGGCTGAGGTTTTGCAGGGGAGTGTGGCAAAAGGAGTTGGGCAGAGGAAAGATGGATTATGAAGATAGCCATGAAATCTCTTCCAGGGGCGCAGGAAGTGGGAAAGGCCTGGGGTCAGAGTGGGACATTCACAGGTGGCCTTTCTTAAGTAGTGTCATTACTAGTGACAGCAAGGTCCAGAGACTGGCTGGTCAGCAATGACCAGGGGATTAAACCAAAAAGGACATTTTCCAGCAAGAATGCTCAAGCCCCACAGCCATGTTCTCTGTACTGTAGGAGTCCCTGGGAAGGAAGCTGACCTGGTGGTCACACAGGCCACCACCTATGAAGGGGTCGTTCTGCAATCAGCTCTGCACTGAGAACTACATGTGCTTTTTAAATTCGATCCTGGCCAGGTGCAGTGGCTCACGCCTATAATCCCAGCACTTTGGGAATCAGAGGCGGGAAGATTGCTTAAAGCCAGGAGTTCAAGACTAGCCTAGTAGCCTGGTCAACATAGTGAGACTGTTTTTACAAAAAACAGAAAAAATTAGCTAGGCATGGTGGCGCGTGCCTATAGTCCCAGCTACTCAGGAGGCTGAGGCAGGAGTCTGAGGCTGCAGTGAGCTCTGATCATGCTACTGCACTCCAGCCTAGTTGACAGAACAAGACTGCCTCTCAATAAATAGACAAAGGAACTCAATCCTAATACTTCTGTTCAGTAGGTACTGCTGTCATCCCACTTACAGGATGGAGAACTGAGGCTGAGAGACGAAGTGGCATGTCTAAGGCTGCCCAACTAGTGAGGGGCAGAGTCCAGCCTTGGACCCAGGCCCCCTGACCACAGGGCCCTTGCTCTGACCCCAGTGCCATAGTGTGGAGGGGCCTTACCGGTGCTGCGTCTCTGGTCGGTAGAAGTAGTCCACTGGGGTGTCCAGCCGGGAGAAGATGGGTGGGGGGATGTACAGCGGCAGCTCCTGGTGGAAGAAGCCCTCCTTCTCGGGCCGCAGCATGAGCACCTTGTCATACATCGACGTGTGCCTGCCGCCTGCTTCCGTGTGCACAGCCAGGTACTGGAAGTCGGACATTCCTGGGAAGAGAGGCGGGCAGATGGTAGATGCCGTGGCTGGGAACACCCCTCCAGAAGCGGGCAGCTGCTGTGCATCAACGCCCACATCCTCTCAGGGGCGTGCCGAATGGGCCGAGCGGCGGAGGCTGCCAGGAAACGTGGCAGGAGCTGAAACTCTACCCTTACAAATGCTTCTGTGAACTTGGCTCAGTGCTCTCCAAGTCACCTACATAAAAATTATTTTGGGGGGATGGGGCAGCCACGTGATAGGCGAGGATAAAGTCTAGGTCAGTGCTTAAGACACAGTGCGCATGTGAATCACCTGGAATCTTGCCAAATGCAGACTCGAGACTCTGCATTTCTAACAAGCTCCCAGGTGAGCGGACGCTGCCGGTGCAGAACAGAGTAGCAAGGTGCTGCCTCACCGAGAGAGATGAAAACACGAAGTGTGAAATTTTACATTTTCATTTTTGTTTGTTTGTTTTTTTGTTAACAGAGTCTCGTTCTATTGCCTCGGCTAGAGGAGATTTTATGAATCACCTGGAAAACCTTGTCCCACAAAGAACAGCCCTCTTTGGTGAAGACCACGTTCCACCAGAATGACGGACATTCACGATGCCCAGCCCAGGGGACCCCAGGTCCTGTTTTTCCTTCTTTTCACTTTACTTTTCCCCTTTTCCTTTCTCAATCTTTATTCCCTCCAGGCTCTGCCTCAGCACGGCAGCCGTAACCACAGACATTTCTAAGGCCAGTAATCTGCCAGGTGCCTGGGCCCGGCCCCTTAGCAGGCATCATCTCCGCATCTCCTCCAGGGCCCCGCAGCCCCCACGGTACAGACAAGGAGACTGAGGCTGAGGGAAGCCAGAGCTCTTGCCCAGAGGACCTGGCAGAGCTCAGGTACACACACTGCCACAGCCCGTGCTCTTTCTCACCCTGCCCCCTCTCCACCTAACAGCCTCGTCTCTGTAGGAGAGGAGCCTTCTACCCTGTAGGTAGGAAACTTGATTGAGGAGCCCATGGGAGACGTGTAATCTATTAAGAATTCAAAGGAGCATGAGGTCCCAAGGGGCTGAGGCGAGCTGGGAAGGGTTTGGAAGAGGCAGACAGCAAGACCAGTGGTGGTCAAGACCAAGAGGAGGTTCTAAAATATGGGGGGCAAAAAGTGGAGGTCTGACCAGTTTTATTTGGCCCCACATAATGGTTTTATTAGCAAGTAGCAGATTTCTCATGGAACTCTACATTTCTAGCTTAAGTATGTCGAAGATCAGTGAGCCTGCAGCTGGAGGTAGAGGAAGAAAGGCTGACACCTGGATGGGGCTTCTGCTCTGCTATTCCCCACGGCCCCTGCCCCCCATGCCTGGGCATATCTTGGCCCTCTTCATGTGTGCAGATGACCACATGGTTCCTACGGGCAGTTGAGACAGCAAGCCAGGAGATAATGCATGCTGCAAAAGTAGATTTCATAGTTACCCTGAAATTTGTAAATGGTGGAGATGATGCCAAGGATCTCCATGTCAAATGTGACCTCGGGGTGGGCCTCGGTGCCTGGCACACCCTTCTGCCGCCTTGTCTTCTTCCTGATGCGGAGCAGCAGGCTGCTAGTACTGAAGCGGTTAGCACACACGGGGTGGCAGTACGGGTCCTTGGGCCGGAAGTACAGTTCTAGCCTCTTGGTGGGGTCTGCGTAGATCTGTGTCAAGGCCAAAGAAGACAGGGTAAGGCGGTGACCAGCTAAGCAGCCAAGAAGGAGCTGCTCCTCTCTCACCAAAAGCCTGATGGTGAACCAGGTGACCCAGGAAGGGCCAGGAGGCTCGAGTTTCATTCTGAGCTCTTAATTCCTGAAGACTCATTTTTTAAACCCAAATATCTTAGTTTTTATGTAGTGGAGAAAATGAGGATAAAGAGAAGTTGTAAAGTTGGATATAACAACCACTAATTATGTAAAACCCACTGTCTATCAAATGCCTGTTCGGTGTGGGGCCTCATGGGTGTATTCTGGCAACACTTCATAGGAGGTATTTTCACCCTTGAGATTACCTTTGAGGTAACTGAGGCTTGTGGGGGTGAGGGTGGGGGGCGGAGAGAGGGGAACTTGAGCAACTTGTCTAGGGCTACCTCCTCTAGGAACTACCCATCCCAAACGGTCTTGGTATTTAGTCTCATATGCAAATGTTTCTAGGTCCAAAGGAGAGTAGATCAATCAGTAATAACCATTTTGGCTCTGACTAGCTGATCTATAGCTTTTCAAGCATATGAGACTGAATACCAAGACCCTTTTGGTCCTTCTCCTTAAAAACCCTAAGAATAGTACCTATCTCATAGGGTTGTTAAGATAATTAAATATGCATCAATCATTTAGCCCGGTGCCTAACTCATGGTAAATACTCAACATGTGCCACCTATATATGAATGAATGCTTGCCCTACCCCGAGTAAGAGAGATGAAATGAGTGTCACATGTGTACGGATGAAGGCACGACCAATGTGCACCAGGACAAAATCATCTTTGTGCTAGTCTGCTGGCTCCACAATACCCAGGACAGGGCGGGGCCCTTAGGAAGCACTCAGGATCTAACTAGGGAAAGCATGAAGGTCATCTGAAAGCCCTCTTCTCATGAAACACACGTCTCTGAGACCTGATAGTGGGGGAATGAACCCGGCTGTGGGCCTCGCACAAAGAAGGTGTTCAAGAAACATGAGTGGAATTAATGAATGAAGGTCCCTTCCTGGGCTCACACTGTAGTTGGGCAATTAGGGAGAGTAAGAGTTTTATCAAGGTTACAAGTGAAGCAAATAAGTCAGTATAAAAGAACAAAACATTAATGACTGAGGCTCTATTGGCATCCTGTCCTTAAAGATGAGTTCAAGGCTTTTCAACATTCATAAAGGATGAGGAAGCAGCAGTTAAGAACTCACAAGGCACAAATGAGTTCAAATCCCCATTGTACCATGTAAGAGCTGTTTGACCGAACTTCCCTGTGTCTTTATCTGAATAATGGAAACAAAAATAGTATCTAACTCACTAGACTGTTGTGAAGATTCAATTGTGCATTCAACAAATACTTATAGAACTAGGTGCTAGGAGTACAGAAGAGAACAAGAAAGGTCCCTGCTCTCATGGAGTTTACAATCTCAGGGCCAAGGGACCAAGATAGACAATAAAAAGGTGAAAACATAATTTCAGATCGGAATTAACAGGATGAAGAGGCAGATAACTGCTAGAGACCACTCTAGTTAGGGTGGTCAGGGAAAATCTCTCTAAAGAAGAGACATTTCAAGATTTGGTCATGTGGAGAACTTAGACAGAAGCTCATCCCATCTCCCCTACTTGCTGTGTGAGGTTGAACAAGCCGTGTTCATCCCCTTGTAAAATGCAGACACTGACAGTTCCTACCTGGTAGGGTTGTAAGGAAGACATAATGTAAGTTAAGCACCTAGAACCGCGCCTGGCACAGAATAAAATGTCAGCTATTACTGAGCTGCGTTCATGGCACGGATGCTGAGGCTCCGGGTCATATTTGGAGATGGGATGTAAAAGAGCCCCTAGGATCTCCCCCACAATCCTTTCCTTCCGTTCCCGCGATTGCTGGCGATCACGGAAAGCAAAGCCCCCGCCCACCGGGCGCCCGAGAGCCAGCTACACTCTTCGTTGCCAAGGAAACCACACTTCCCCCGAGTGATCCCGCCCCTTGGGCCGTTGTCCGGCGACTCGGTCCCTCCCCCGGTGTTCTGAAGATTCCCAGCTTCTTACACGGGAGACGCCTTCCTCGCCGCCCAGAGTCGGCAGCATCTTAGCCACGTCGCGCACCACGCCCGGGTACTCCACGCACACCATGCGCCGCTCCCGCCGCAGCTCCACGGGCACGGCAGCCCCCAGCCTCGCATCGGCCGCCTGTGCCGCCATCCCTGCCGGTCTGGCCCGGCCCGCCAGGGTCCGTCTCTCAAAGTGCTCCCAGAGGACTCGCCTCAATGGTTCCGCGAAGGACTCGTTCCGGGCTCTCTCACCGCTCGAGTCTCCCTAACTCCCCGAGCTCAGCGAGACTCAACCCTCCTAGGGAGCGAACACACGAGAGACGACCACGATTGCCTTCACTTTTTGTTTAAAATCTAAATTAGTCCGAAGGGCGGGGCAAGAACCTGTCTCTCCCACCAGCCAGCGGGAGACGCGGACAGTAAGACACCACCCACCCTCGTCTTTAGCCAATGAGAACTCGAGGGCCGAGCCGAGATTTTAGCCAATGAAAGTTCCAGAAGAAGCCAGGTTCCACCTTCTCCTCCAGCTCCATAGACTTTAGCCAATACAGAACCAGGACTTGGCCAAGTACCCGCCCTCTTACGAGGATTCTCCCAATGACGACTCGGGGGCGGGCCCCAGACATACTTCCGGCCCGCCTCCTTCCCGTGGAGGGAGGGCCCTACAGAGAATTGATTTCCGGGTCGGGTCCGCCAAGAGGGTTTGTTGTGGCTCAGGCTTTCTCGCTCCCGACTACTTCCATCTTCCCCAGGACGAAGTTTCTGACAGCGCCTGCAGGGAGGCCGCGGGGAGCTGGATGCGGAAATAGCGAGCAAGCGAATTGTGCGCTAACTGCTCGCCCCACCTCCACACGGAAAACTCCGAAGCGCGGTCGCCTGCGCTGGGGCGGGCTGCGGGCGTCCCTCGTTCGTTTGTTAGGCAGGCGGGTATCAAGCGCCTACTGTGCGCTGGGCACTACTCAGAACCTAACGGGGGGGAGAGCAGTGAGAAGCGGCTGTGTGGAGGCGCCGAGGGGACAGCTGATGCGGAGCCCTGAAGCGAGGAGCGTGGCCCCTTCTAGAAGTGACGGGAGGGAGAACTGTGAACAGAGTGGGGGAGGTGAGGGGTCAGAGGCCGACGCAGGCCAGATAGGTCATGGAAAGGACGGGCCTGACAGTTGCTGTTCCCGAGAGGATGGAGAGCTCGTGAAGGTGTATGCGGCAGGGCTGTGATCCCATGTATGCACTGAAAGGACCTCTCTGGCTGTTGCCGGGAAAAAAAAACAAAAAAAAAAAAGGGAATCAAAAAAAACAAACCAAAAGCCGCAAAAACAAAGCAAAGGAAGCCGCCCGCGGCAAGGAAAGGGCAAGGAAAAAGGAAAGAAAGGAACGGAATTGAAGAAAATGGAAAAAAAAAAAACAACGGAACCCCTGGAGGAAGGGGAACCCAAAGTTCCGAAAGGAATTCCGAAACAAAAAGGTAACCCAACCGTCCAAAAGGAACCAAAAAAGCAAAAAAAGGCTGCAAAGCCCACTAAATACATTTTTGAAAGAAAAAAATGTAACCTGAATGTGAAATACATTTCGTTATATTGTAATTGGAAGGCTCAGCCAGGAGCCCCGAATCCTTGAAAGAAAGCGCCCCTCTGAGAGTGCACTGAGGAATCAACCAACAGCAAGTGATGGACGAGCCAGAAGAACTGCATATTTCTGCAGAGAGCTGCACACCAGGACTTGCTAGTCCCTGACCAGCCCCTCCACTGGGTACTTGCCCATTCTGCCACCAAAGACAATTGTGTGTCATGAGGCCAGGGTAATTCTCTGAATTTTCCATACCTTGAGATGAAATTTCCTTTCAGACATCTCCTGTCCTTCTCATTGTGTGCTCACCAAACAGTCTTCTGGTGGTTTAATTTTCCAGAAAGGAGAACCTGAATATGTATATTTTACCCCCGTCGGCAATTGTAAATCAATAAATTGGTGTATATACATCAGACCCCTGAGAGTTTGGTACCCAGGAGTCAGTACTGAAGACTTTGTTACTATAGGTAGAGTTGGCCAATAAAATATCAGACACAGTTAAATTTGAATTCGTGCAATATTTGGAATATATTAATATCCCAAATGTTTATTCATTGTTTATCTGAGATTCAGATTTAGCTAGGTGTATTTTTATTTGCTAAATACAGCACCCCTACCACTGGATGTTGAAGGAATTGAGTTTCTGAGCCTGCAAAGCTGATTCCAAACCACCTGGAACGTTTGTGAGCCCACCCCACAATCCAGTGACCTTCCAGTTTTGTCTGCACTAATCTTTCTCCTGGAAGCAAGAGTGATCTTTCTAGAATGAAATCTCACTCTGTGCCTGTCTCCAATAACTCCCCCACTGATTCCTCATCCTATTACCTGGCTGACTGCTCATCAATCCTCCCTCACCCCTGAAGACTAGTTTGGTGCTATCCTCTGTGCCCGTGACGCCCAAACTCATCCAATCATGGAGCCTGAAGCACTGGGGTTTTTTTCTTCTTTATTGACCTTTCTCCTCCACTGGAGTATCAGCTTCCTGAGGGCAGGGGCTGTGTCTGTCTGATTTGCCACTGTCTGCCCAGGCCAGCAGGTGCTCAGGAAATACTGAACAAGTGAATGAGGCCCCTTGACTCATGTGATCCCTCAGTTCAATGCAGACCCTGGGTCAGGGCCTGGTCATAGGGTTGCTAAATCAAGGCTTATCAGAGAGGGGTGTGTCCCCATAGTGCACAGGAGCTGAGGAGTGGGCGGTGGGTGCGGGGAAGACAAGGGACCAACCCCAGGGCATTAGACCAAGCTTCTGGAGGACAGCCACTTGGTCCTGCCTGGTGCAACAAAGGGAGGTCAGAGGTGTGCCTAGGGCAGTAAGGCCAGGCTGGGAGCAGAGAGAGGCCAAGAGGGATCAGGAACCCAGTTAAAGAAGCAGCTATGACTTTCCCCCAAACCTTGCAGCATTCAGAGCAGGCAATGGTGATGCTTAATATTTGTGCATTGAGAGGGTGCTTCCTCCACCTGGTTTCAGGGTATCTGCTGTGATTTGAATATGTCCAAAGTTTCATGTGCTGGAAACTTAATCCCTCTGCCCCCATGAATGGATTAATGTGGCTATCACAGGAGTCAGTTTGCTGTCTCGGGAGTGCTTTGTTATAAAAGCAAGCTCTCTCTGGCTCTCTCGCTCTCACTCTCTTGAGATGTGATACCCCCCGTTATGGTATGATGCAGCAAGAAGGCCTGTGGTCTTGGACTTCCTAGCCTCCAGAACTATAAGAAATTAATATGCTTTCCTTATAAATTAGTCTGTGATATTCTGTTACGACAGCAGAAAACAGACTAAGCATCCTTCCCCTGCCTTGTGCCCCTGCCGCTCAGGGTATTTCATCCCATTGAACAGAAGGGCTCAGGGGTCCCTGCAGTTCTAGCCACCTCCCACGGGCTGGCGTGGGACATGGCGGGAGCAGTGGGGGAGCCTGTATCTGCCACTGCCACGCAAGAGAGATCCGGGGCTCCCGAAGGATGCTGGGGTGCTGGAGACCGGCGTTTGCTGCCCAGGGAAAGGGTGGGGATCCCCGGAACAAGAGAGGGAATCCCACTGCACACTCCGAGCTCCCCTTCCCAGACTTGGAGACCCTCCCCCTGACAGAGGCTGATTCGGCTTTCAGGCTGAAAATCTCGGCCTTAGCCGGGGCCTGGCAGGAGCTTTGCCATGAAGAAGCTTTGAGACGTTGTCTGCACGAAGTGGGGAGGATGAGCCCGCATCACCCATGGATTCTTACTTACGCGCATGGGCCCTGGCCCGCTTGTTTGAACATTTACGCATGCTTAAGTGTTTTATTTCATATGCTGTGGGGGGCGTTGGGGGGAGAGCGTAATCCTATTGTCACCTTGATTATGGACTTCTGGCCTCCAGAAATGTGGGAATAAATTTTTGTTGAGTTTTAAGCTACCTAGTTTGTGGCAATTTTTTACAGCCACCTTAGGAAACTAATACAGGAGGACAGAGAATCTGAGTTCCCAAAACATTTCAGGATCCATTTTTGGGTCATGTAATTTTCGGTCACAAGTGGGCAATTTTTCTTCTCTCAAGTTACTAGAAGTCATTCACTGCAAAGCAGGCCTCCTGCTCACTCGTCACCCCTTTCACGGGGCCCGAGGCCACCCATTCCCAGGCTGGGGGACCTCTCCAAGGTACTACCCGCAACCACCACTAGGGGCACAGAGTATAAAGTGCCACAGCCCAGCCTGGGTGGCTGAATCGCAGCAGGGTCTTTCTAGGCACTGAATGTGCCCCTCCCGCAAATTTGTATGTTAAAGCCCTGACCCCCAGGTGATGGTTTAGGGGGTGGGGCCTTTGGGAGGTAATTAGGTCACGAGTGTGGAGCCCTCATATGGGATTAGTGCCCTAAAAGAAGAGATAAGAGGGATGTTGCTCTCTGCTCTGCCCTGTGAGGACACAGCAAGGTGGGAAGAGGACGCTCACCAGACGCCGCATCTGCCGGCACCTGGGCCCGGGACTTCCCAGCCTCCAGAATGCAAGAAATAACTTTCTGCTGTGTGCACCGCCCAGTCTGTGGGATTTTTGCTATAGCAGCCAGAGCCGCTATAGCAAATGGATGCCATATAGTGGATGCTAAAACAGCATCCACTCAGGCGCCATCTGACACACGCTCCCTGCGCTGTGCCAGACCTGTGCCAGCTCAGACGCTGAACGGAGGGAAGACGCCAGCCCTGGCCCCAGCAGAGCTCACACTGGATTCGTGGAGACAGCAGGCAAATAAAGGAAATCCGCACCTGGCGCGGTACCAGGCCATGAGGGCGGCAGGGAAGAACAGGGCCCGTGAATTTTAGCTGCATTCCTGCAATTTCCCCAACGCCCCCAGCCCCCTCCTCCAGCCCCCAGCAAGGCACAAGGTGAGTTCTCACCTGGGCCCACACGGGCTCACATCCTCCCTGGGCAGCTGGGGCACACCGTTTGGGGGTGTGGCCAGCGCCCCACTCCCCTCCATCCTTAGTCCCAGTGTCCAGCCGAATGGCAGCCCCTGCTGCCGGCTGTGCTGACCTCGGGGAACACACACAGCTGTCCCGTGCGCTGAGGTGTCCCACGGGGAAAGGGGCTGCTGGCTGATTGTCAGGGCTGAGTCCCATGTGATGGGACCTGGGTGTGTGTGTGGTCGGACCTGATCGGGAGCAGGCTGCTGAGCCCTGGCCCAGCACAGGCTCTGACATACGAATGTGGGGGAGGGGGGCACAAACATTCAGTGCATAGGAAGACTCTTGCTGCGATTCAGCCACCCGGGCTGGGCTGTGGCGCTTCATACTCTGTGCCCCTCGGGATGGTCGCGGGTGGTGCCTTGGAGCGGTCCCCCGGCCTGGGGCGGGGGGTGGGGAGGCGGCCTGACACCCGTCTGACCCCTGTCCAGAGCCTTGAATACTCAATACTGTCTGGGGAGCCCC